GACCATGCTTCTGCTTCGCGTTCACACGTATACTCCGTGAACTGCGAACGGGTACCATATATTTTTACTGTGGTATAGGATACGACGTAGCCGATACGTCTATATATTGAGCCGTATAATGGGTCTGAACTTTCGTGGCTGAGAAAACTCCCGTCCAATGAAGGAAGGCCTTCGAATTTTTTTTTAATGGCACCACTATTTCAGGCAATGAGGCCGAAGGCGTCCGTCCGCATATCTAGTGAACATTTCAAGTACCGCTATCTCACATCTTTTCATCGTGTATTACATGTACCGTCATCCAGCGGACATTCTAAGGACCGCTCTCTCGGGTATGTGCCACCGGTAGTTACATACGACAACGGGACGCACAAGCCACTCCATAAGGAGCTTCACCCCTAAAAATTAATCAACTCGAAGCACACACACACTGAATGTAGCTGCATTTATTACCTTCTGTGAGTAGTTTTTCCCTCCTTTTGTTTACTGTCTTCAATTATTACGACAACGCTCCCACGTATACCAGAAGCGTATACCCACTATTGTGTGCCGCATTAAGCCAGGGTTTCGAGGTTATCGCGATCTCGTCGCAAGGGACTCGCCCTGCAGTCGCGCTATATGTTTTAAGAACCGCCCTCCGCCGGGTTATAGACCGAAATCCTCACATGCATCATTAAAGGCGAAGGTGGACCGTCGGCGGCGTCAACGCGAGTGGTACAAAAACCATAAGGTGATTATATCGCCACATGAGGTCGTCATGGCGTCACATAATGTGACGTCACATTATGACGTCGTCACATGACAGCATCGCTTGGTCAAAGATGAGCCAAACGCGAATCAAATGTGCAGTAAGTTTCTATAAATACATGTTTCCCTACGGGAAACATGTATCTATAGAAACTCTATATATAACGACTGAGAAGACAAATAAGACGGCTTTCGAATTTTTTAAATGTATCAGGGTGGTTTTGATCTCAGGTATCTAAATTAGCATAATCAATTTGTTATAACTATTATATAATTAATTAGTAATCCAATTCTTATTTGATCACATTTACTTCTAAACTTTTCGTTTCTTGACCTATCCCTCAGAGTTGGTGTGAGCCTTACATAGAGGCTATCATCAATCACCATCATCATCGTTATCATTCTTCAATTCATCTTAGACGAGTGCACTTGAGACCCTGTGAGGATTTTTTATTTATTATTATTGTTTTGCCTACTTTGTTTCTTCGTTTTTAGCGCTGCCCCATCACGGTTTTCAGCTATTTCGACTCGGCCAAACGTCGATTGTTATGCGCTAAAAAAAATATAACGCTTGCTAGCCGACCAATCTTCCTGTCGCTTACGAGTCTTCGGGGCGCACTTTCATTTTCAACAAACGTCTGTCTTCCTTATATAGTTCGAGCCATGCATCCACCCCTACGTGATGTAATGGAGGCGTTTAGTGCTCCCGTCTGGATGTCTGATATGCCTGTCTATAAAGATAAGTTCCAAGTGCACGACGGGCGCCGGTTCATATTCGCCATCTGCTCTTGCAGACCACGCTTGCCCCGCCGCGGTGGTCATGTGGCTAAAGCACTCGGCTGATGACCCGCAGGTCGCGGGATCGAATCCCGACTGCGGCAGCTGTGTTTTCGATGGAGGCGATAATGCTGTAGGCCCGTGAGCTCAGATTTGGGGGCACGTTAAAGAACCCCAAGTGGTCGAAATTTCCGGAGCCCTCCACTACGGCGTCTCTCATAATCATATGGTGGTTTTGGGACGTTAAAGTTCATATATCAATCAATGCAGACCATGCTTCTGCTTCGCGTCCACTTGTACACTCCGTGAACTGCGAACGGGTACCATATATTTTTCCTGCGGTATTGGATACGACGTAGCCGACACGTCTATATAGTCGTATATATAATGCGCCGTATATATAATGGGCCCGAACTTTCGTGGCTGAGAAAGCTCCCGTCCAATGGAAGAAGGCCTTCGATTTTTTTTTTACGGCACCAGTATTTCAGGCAACGAGGCCGAAGGCTGTCGCATATCGTGGGCAATTCTCGCCTATACTTTTTGAGGCAAACAATATATATATATATATATATATATATATATATATATATATATATATATATATATATATATATATATATATAGTAAGTTGAAGCAAGTGCGTGGTTACAATTATCCCGAGTAGATGCTTGCGGCGGTAGCCCGCTTGGCGCGGATAAAAATACGGAGTGAGAATAGGTGTATAACCTTGTTGTCGAAACGTATACACCGACTCCTCCGTACATGTAGGTCGGCCGGGCGTGTAAAAGTGGCTGCCGAATAAGCGTATAGCCGAGTTTCGGTGATAACGATTGTGCGGCGCTCGCGAGACAAATTGCTCCCGGGCATTCGTGGTTGCACGCACGAGCCACTCTGCAGTATATGCAAGGGGCGCGTCAGAGAGAATGCGTGCATACACAGCAGCATGCGAGCACTATAGGAATATAAGGTTCGATGCATGTATGTATTTGCTTTAGCGTGCTCATTTATAGCACACCGTTTGCTTCTCGGATCGTCTCTCCATTTACGGCGCGTTCTCCTCGATGCGGTGTTTATCTGCTGTCTTCGGTCAAGCAGCGCGCTCACGCGCGCATGCGGCGTAGGTGCGTTCAGAGAGAGAGAGAAAGAGAGAGAAGGATTGTAGGAAAGGTAGGGAGGTTAACTAGACTATGCGTCCAGTTTGCTACCCTACACATAAGGAGGGGGAGAGGGGAGCAAACGAGAGAGAGAAAGATAGACACATGTCACATCACACACACAATGCCGAGTTTCACAGGCGGTCCCTCAATGAAGTTGCTGACAAGTGTCTCAGGAGGGCTCGTGTGGCTTTCTGTGCTGATGCGCTGCGCGACCAGGCTCCTAAGATCTTTGCTTCATTGAATGGCCGGTCATCGAGTCTATTCAAGACGCACTGGATAGTCCGGCGATCTTCATCAAATTGGGCACAGTGGCACAAGAGATGTTCAATAGTCTCTATACAGTTGCAGCTTTCATACATGGATGAATCCGTCATGCCAATGCGATGGCTGAATGACTTGGTAAACGCTACCCCAGTCCAACTGAGTTTATCAGTCAGGTGGCTAAGCCGCCCTGTGTTCGCTTGATTGCAACAGCGCGGGTTCTTTTGTCGAGGTAATTAACCTTCGCTGTGCGCGCCTCGGTGCAATAGTGGCTACAGGGTGCCCGACTGATCACCCTATAAGGTCGCGGGTTCGATACCGGCCGTGGGAGTCGCATTTCGAAGGAGGAGAAATGGTTGAGGCACGCGTCTATGCCAGTGCACGTTTTAAGAACAGAAATTCACGGAGCCCTCCACTATACGGTGTCTTTCATAATCATATCGTGTTTTTTTGGGGGGACGTAAAAATTATTAACTTTCGGTTTCATGACCGACAGGAATCGGTGTGGCGGTGGCACGTGTTCCAAGCTGTCGTATTGAACTTATCTGCGCACATTATAGTCGTGTATGTCTCGTTGTTTCTTTTGTGCCTTTTTGTATATGCTAACATTTTTGGGTAAAGGTGAAACTTCGTGCGGGAGCTAACAGGGATCCGTTGTTTGTAAAGCCGTAAAGCATGGCACTCGATTGTTTGTTGCCGTCGTTTCAGTGTTAATTAGTCACAAAGTCACTAGAAATTCCCCCAACGTCAAGTGGAGTGTGGCGATCGCTTGTTTGTTGTTGGTGTTATTTCGGTGTTAACTATATATAGTCACCCGGTCACTATATAGAAACGTCAAGCGCTATGTGCCATTAAAAACACACGTGGTGCTCGCGTATATAGCATCGTTGTCGTAACGTCTTAGCGTCTGTGGCTATTACTTAATTACCGGCTTACAGAGACGGCTAGACCACGCAACCGTAGATTATTATTATTTTCCTGATGATCGTTCCATCATACTCCGTACACACTCTCGGATTACATGCTTCACCCGGTGCCCCGCCATGGTGGTCTAGTGGCTAAGGTACTCGGCTGCTGACCCGCAGGTCGCGGGATCAAATCCCGGCTGTGGCGGCTGCATTTCCGTTGGAGGCGGAAATGTTGTAGGCCCGTGTACTCAGATTTGGGTGCACGTTAAACAACCCCAGGTGGTCGAAATTTCCGGAGCCCTCCACTACGGTGTCTCTCATAATCAAATAGTGGTTTTGGGACGTTAAACCCCACAAATCAATCTATGCTTCACCCGGCTTATGTATGTTATTTGTTTCAGAAGCGATGCGTGTATAAAAGCATTCTGATGAATAGGTTCTCATTACTTGTGACGCAGACGCAATCTTCTTCCATAAATCGCTTTTACGCGATAGCGTTAAAGAGCTCGTTTATCAGAGATTCTGGCGTTGGCGACGTTGTTTGCGAGCGAAAAATAATTATCTTTGCATGACCGAGAAATCGAGAAAGATGGAAATTTTTTAAAAAAAAGGTTAACAAATTCTGGGTCTTTGTGGGAATCGAACCCGGGTCCTTTGCGTGCGGGTGTTCTATACCGCACAATGGCGTCTCTGCTTGTGAATACAGTGAAAATAACTTCCTCTGCTTGGAAATTCTGTGAAAGTAACTTTCATGCTTTACAAACACGCACGTTACATGCTTCACAATACAACATGTAATATCGCCTTACTAATGCGCGGTGCAAAAGTATACATTGCCATCGGGCGTTAGAAAATGGGGTTATCATAACGACTTCATAGTTTAAAGCCAGTCGCCCACTATACAAGTCACACAAGCTACTGCACCCTATAGGGCCACGTAGTGGGTGCATAGCAAGTTCGATAACATTTCAAGTGTTTGAAGTACGCACTATAGGAACAGACTATCGCTAGCGCGTCCAATTCTTAAAAGTGAAGCTTAAGGGTCCCCCAATGTTTTCGTTGCTCTGTTGCCACATATGCAGAATGTGTATAATTTTTTGTCACTTTCATGTGTTTTTTATCTCCATCTTTCGTTTCTGTTTGTATTTTCCAGGCAGGACTTCAAGCTTTGATGCTGAACTCCTCCTGCCAAGATGGTCATAGTTACGCGGGTAAGTAATCAAAGCAGCGGCTTCGGCTTTTTTTATCGCGTTAACTCGGCTATATAAATATACAGCATTTTTTTGTTTTTTAGACAATACAGATTTTTATAGAAAAAACGCTGTGATACTCCAGTAGGCTCCTGTCTTCTCGTACTGTACGCCGAGGCGAAAAAGCTTTGCCGCACTTGAAGTTACATTCAATGAATGACCGAAAAAACCTAATTAATTAATTTTTAAATTATCAGCTTGAGGGCCATTGTTTGAATAGAAGAATTGTATGATGCGACAATTGATGCCCCTGTTCATTTTTTAAACATCGCTAGAAAACGCATTCAATTTGAACTACTACTACTACTACTACTAGTACTACTACTACTACTACTACTACTACTAATAATAATAATAATAATAATGAGGACCCATGCCCACCAAAACTTGGCCATCGTAAATTATTCGAAAGTATTTGCAGGCTAATTCGAAAGCATCTGCAGGCTAATCAGTGCGCCCAACTGAAGCATGAATAAGCAAAAGCGTCGAATATTTATCCTGTTTCTGTGGGTTTCATCCTGTGATTTCACAAGGTGAACACGGGAATTAGAACGTTCGAAATACTTTAAATATGACCTCCGTATACGTTAGCTGCCGGCCATGCCTACTCACCCGACGGGACCAGTGTGAATCACGCCTAAAATGAGCTAGCTCTTTCAAATTAAGCCTGCCCTAAAAGCATTTACGAAACGACGAAAAAGAAAAAAATCAATGTATTCGGTCCGTGTACTATAGACTTTGAAAAGTATATAATACTTCTAATTCATGGACACACACACGCACACACACACACACACACACACACACACACACACACACACACACACAGCACATAGCATGACATAATCCAGTTCTCAATATTTTTGTCGGTTGGTCGGACTATCGTTATTCTGAAATAAGCCGTTCTATAGTCCTCTTAGCAACCCGACTGTGCGAGAGCTTCGCTTCACTGAAATTTTTCGCTCAGGGCTTAAACAGCGATCGCACTTGCGATTTACGTTTGTTCGCCAGTGACCCTGCGAGTAGCACGTAACACACATGAGTGCCTACGAGTATTATAGTTGTTCCCTGTTCTCCATGGGATTCGTACGGCCTTGATCGCTGTCGATATGCGCAAGTGAGGATCAATTGAAAGGGAACGCAAGATTCAGGGTGCAGATTTCGCGTGACTTGCCCGAGGCGGGTGACTCACGTGGGGAGCAGCAGCGATGCTGTCTCCTTCTGGTGGGTAGAGCAAATCCAAGGCGGATAACTACAGAGAGCGATATAGAAACAAAAAAACTAGAAAAAACAATAAAAACCAGACTATAGTGGCTTCTGAAGCGATTTTCAATATAGCAAGTCAAGTCTTTACATATATAGCTCATGGGTCAGCCGACGAGTTTTACGTATACCCAAAGCTTTACGATATGGCTTGGTTGCCGTTGCGCATGCGTCATACGCTGACCTTCTTAGTTACGCACGTTATGCTTTCGAAAATTAGCGTGTGCATCCAAGCAGCGCTAAGCCTCCGTACCTAAAGAGACGAAGGAAGAAAGGTGTTAAAGTCGGTTAGAAAGAAGTTGGAAGCTGCGGTGGTCTAGTGGCTAAGGTACTCGGCTGCTGACCCGCAGGTCGCGGGATCGTATCCCGGCATCAGCGGCTGCATTTTAGATGGAGGCGAAAATGCCGTAGGCCCGTGTGCTCAGATTTGGGTGCACGTTAAAGAACCCCGGGAGGTCGAAATTTCCGGAGCCGTCCACTACGGCGTCTCTCATAATCATGTGGTGGTTTGGGGACGTTATACCCCACAATCAATCAGTAAATGAAGGAGTGAATGAGTGAGTGAGTGAGTGAGTGAGTGGAGAGAGAGAGCGCAGGCGAAAAAAAAAAATGTCACTGTGATTTCGCTACAAGACAGGCTTCACTGTTCGGTTCATGATAGCTCACTGAGCAGCACTCAGAGACACAAGCGAAGAAGGGACTCGCGCTGACAAGCGCTCACTAACGACTGAATTTCGCTTTGAAGGACCAAGCGGGTATAAATATACAGAATTGCCCATGCGCGAGTGCATACATGTCGAAAATTTCCTTTGACCATGATAACACGTAATCATTTATGTCACTCAAAGTTAAGCGAGCAAAGAACCCTCCCCTTTTCCCTTTGGTCGAAGCCGGAAGACAACAGGCACTAGGTCTGCAGAAGTTGTCTCGGCTAGATTCCTCAGAAAACGGTGATTATATATACTCATTCTGATGCGTTAATGGCAATTACTAACGGGCCACATAAGCAGATCAACTCGCGCAAGTTGTCGTGACGATAAACAAGTGATTGAAGAGACGGGCGTGCCTGCCGGAATTCGCATGAAATTCAAATTTTCCTTTCCTTCTTTTTTTTTGTGGAGGCTATATATTTCTAATAAAACGCTTGCATTGTAGCTGGTACTTTTTGTGCTATACCAAGTAAGGAGCGCCGCCGCGCATGAAGTAAGTCGCTAAAAATTTTCAGCAACTTGTATATATGTGTTCGTGAATCTTGCAGGGCGACTACATCTGGATAGAGCCGCAGGCGAAGCGGGAGTTTGACGTCGCCATCGGGGCCCGAGTCGCATCGGCCGAAGGCAGAAGGATACAGGTTATCGACGACGACGGCAAGGTAATTAGGCGCGTCGTGTTTCGATGTATAATGTAATATCCTTTCGCCATTCAGGAGCAATGGCTGACACCGGAGAGGCGCATCAAGGCGATGCACCCGACGTCCATTCAGGGCGTGGAGGACATGATCTCCCTGGGGGACCTGCACGAGGCGGGCATCCTCCGGAACCTGCTCATTCGCTACAACGAGAACCTCATCTACGTGAGTGTACAGTATATAGTCCCATTTACGGATATATGCCGCTTACGGATGGCCAGAGACAGCCCCGCGAACCGTGTGACGGGCCTGTACCACCTGTCTTCTGGAGGGTGCAAACAACTCTGGCGTTGGGAGTTACCCACCCTCCACACCCGCCCGGAAATTTTCTGTTTCACGTGTGTTTATGTACACGCTATATAACACATGACGCGCGCACAAACAACAAACATTTAAAAAGTGCACGTGGTCGACCCTCCTTCCCAGGAAAAAAAAAAACATTCTGGCTGAAGCCATACAGGCTAACCCGTCTGTTCGACGAATCCGCAACTCATTGCATTGCACCCGATTTCCACGATACTGTGATTTCCAAATATATAGGTGACTTCTTTTATTAGTTTTTTTTTTTTCACGTAGATGTCTCCAAATTTTGACGGAACTTACATATACTCAGTTTTTATAGCGAATCGCGGTAAACGAGAAGTGTGTGCGCGTGTGAGATATACCTCATCGCCAATCTTTGAAAAGCTGAGATCTAAGTACGCGCGTTCAAATAAAAGTTGTGTAAAACCGCCAACAATACATGCAGTGATCTGTTGCTACCCGGCTTTATGCAATAAGCGCGTGCGCAGAGATTAAACTCTGAAACTCTGGAAAGCAACGCTTCTTAGGTCACTTCATCTTACCATTGAATCAGTCCGTCGGATCTTTCGCCGATTGACCAGCGGCTGTTCGCGTTCTACAGCCTTCAGGCAGTGCAAATGTGGCCTCGACCCGCTCAAACTGACAAATTCAAGCGACTCCTCCGCACATACAAGGCTACAAACTTTGCTACCGCTAAGCCTAACGGAAGCCGTGACTTTCGTTAGGCTTAGCGGAAGCTTCATATACGGAAGCTTCATGATCTAAACAGAGTTTCCCTTTACTTTCACCGCGCCCGCATCCAACGTGCGACAGAACCGTTCGCGGTCGCTCAAGAGCACCGCCTCGTTAATGACTCGACCGCATGAAGTGCGCGTTTTCCCGCGCCGGAAACGCTGCGAAAGGCTTTCCCGCCTCCGCCATTTTATCAATTAGGGCTACGTGTAAACCGTCGCCGATTTCGTGGCAGATTACGAAAAACGCCTTGAAACGATTTTGTTTTGCTTTATAACTCGCCGCGCACGACTGCATCTGCTGATGCGGATATGCACAATGGGCGCGCGAATGATCGAGCCGTTATCTCGCGCGACCTTGGGAGTCCTGCCAACGCCGGCCGTCTCGGCAGCGCACGAGCCGCACGCAGTGCTGGTTCGCGCCCGAAAAATCAACAGCGTAAACACAACAAACGTTCTATACCGCCGACACGTGCGGAAAACTACTCTGCGCGTGTCTCGATCCGCTTGCGGGAATCGATGGTTTTGTTCATTTGCATGCTGTGTGCGCGTCCTGCGTTTCTCCTCCCGTGCGGGTTTGAGGGATGGCGAAGGAAAGTAAGAAAATACAATATAATGGAGAACAATCTAGGTCTGCGGTTGTCAGATGTTCTCGCTCCCCTTCCTCACCCCCCCCCCCCCCCACCTTTTTCGGTAGCAGTTAGGAACAATGAAGTGTGTTTCCATTTGCAAGTAACATCAACTGGTGCGTTACCAAAATTTTTTTTCGGAGAGAGGAAGGGTGGCTAGGCACAGAAAGGTGATGACTACAGCATCGTGGCTGGCCCGACAGTCCGACCGAAAATATTGCGAGGTGCATAAAGTAAGATTTTGAACGCATTTGGTGTATGTTAATTATGTCTCGCTCAACAGACACTTCAGTCTGGCAACATTGACGGGTATTAAAGTGTGTTCTGAACGGGCGCACTCTGAGTTTCAGAAAATGGGGAGGGTCAGTTGCGGCCGCCAGCAGCCATGGTATCCTCATAGTTTCGGAATGTTGCAGAGCAACCTACACAGCGGTGGCTGCACTTCTTGATGTCATACATGACGTAACGCAAACCATGCAAAACGAGCTGGGGTGGGGGTAGGGGGGGGGGTACTCTTAGATGCAGTGATTTCAAAATTTCAAGGCCTATACATTGACATAATAGGGAGGGGGGTGTTAAGACGATCATGCCCCCCCCCCCCCCAAAGGGCAACTCTGCATACGCTTACGTGCGTGTGTGTGGGGGGGGTGCGTGCACAGGCGTGTTCCTTACCCCCCCCCCCCTCTTCTTGTTGACCGGTCGAGTCCAAAGGACATCCTTCACAATGAATGGGGGAAAGAAATGAAAATGAAGTAATGACGTGCCTTTCACAATTGCCAGTCATTGCTCTCTGGCTTTCCTGAAGGAAAACAGTTCTTGGAATGCAGCATATCTGGGCCTTTGGCTGCAATTATCTTCAAAAACCTGCTTGACCATAGCTGAGTAAACCTATGAGGCAGACTTTGCACGTCCCCCTTCCTGAGTGACTTGGAGGGGCAGCACCCCCCCTCCACTTTCGTCCCCTTCCTACACATGTCTGTGTGTGTGCATGTGCATTTTATTTTTTAGTGTCTATGACATTACCTTTGCATTGCTAAATGGTGCATATGCACTGTTCTTGTACCGTTCGCATAACTGTCATCTTTGTTCGATTCATTCTTTTATTTCCTTTGTACAGACTTACACGGGATCCATCTTAGTAGCAGTAAATCCCTACCAGATCCTGCCCATCTACACGGCAGAGCAGATCAAATTATACAAGGACAAGAAGATTGGAGAGCTGCCGCCCCACATCTTTGCTATTGGTGACAATGCTTACACGAACATGAAGAGGTTTCATGTCAACCAGTGTGTCATCATCAGGTGGGTTCATCACAAAAGAAATGAATCATTCTGTTGTTTTTTGTTTAATGTTATGTTGCGGTATTGCTTTATTATGTTAGATATTGACAAATGTCTGTAATTATATATATAAACAGATTATTTCTCACTATTTGGTTCAAGAATTCTTTTTAAAATTTCCTAAAGAAAGGGACAACAGCACATATTGCGCAGGGAGCAAGCGTTGACAATTCAGCTGTTCAAGAGCCACGCATGAGGCACACTGAAGAACCAGTTACTGATTAAATGAAAGGAGCTGCTAAAGTCTGCAATTATTTCTAATTACTTCGTGAATTTACCACATTATTGAGCATCTCCGTTTCAAGTTGCCTAGGCAGGCTGTTTTTGTTAGGCTTGTCTTGTCCAATATGTGTGCACTTAGACCTAAGTCTAGTGCTCTAGCATTGAAGTTGAATCATCTAGCAGATACAACTTTTCATATGCACCTGGAGACGTGCATATGGCATGCACATGCCAATCTGATTCATTGGCACTGTAGTGGATGTATGTTGTACACGTTCGTTCATTAATTTATTCATTTACTTTTCTTCAGTGGTGAAAGTGGAGCAGGCAAGACGGAAAGCACAAAGTTGATTCTCCAGTACTTGGCAGCCATTAGCGGCCAGCACTCATGGATAGAGCAGCAGATCCTAGAAGCTAATCCAATCTTGGAAGGTGAGTTCTATCTCACGGCTACTTTCCTCACTTTTAATGAAACCGCGTACTACAGAAGTCATAGGGTGCATATGGGCATATCTTATTTCAAACTTTCTTGAGGATAACATAATTTTGAACAAATTGCTACCTCTTATGTTACATTAGAACTCATGGAAATTAGGTACGATGGATTATCAATGTGGGGAGCACTATTTACTTGGTACCTGCATTGCCTTTGCTGGAATTATAGCAGGGGAGAATGTAACTGAAAATAGTGTTCTTTAATCATACTAGCTGCGAAACTGCATTTCAAAACCAGGACATACCCATCGCGTAGTCTGCGGGGGTTCGCGAATTGTGTCGGCATCTGGGAGCAGCAGTACAAAAACACTAGGTCACCATGGCACTCCCCCTGCGTGTATTTATTAGTTTATTCTTTTTTGATCAACAGGTGATTCGACATTCAGCAGACTCTGCGATTTTGGCCAATGGAAAGTTTGAATTATGATACATTGGGCCTGGGGGTGATGTCATTTTGTATGTTTCAAGAACTCTGAATGAAAAAACAAATTGATATCCGAATTCAAACACACAGAGTGGAAAGAATTATCATTAAGATTAGGTATACATCTTCTGCCTGAGAATTACACCTCTCCTTTAATTATATAAACATTGAATAATGGAAGTATCAGCTTTAGAAGTTCAATTAAAGTATGCCATAATAGTCCAGGACAGATTACTATCCTTGGTTAATGCTGTTAGAAGGAAATGGGGGCATACATTTATCTATAGTGACACGTCAGGTGTCTGTGTATTTGTGTGAATTCAGTAGTGCCACAGAGAATTTTTTATATGTAAGTGAGGTAATATTTCTCTAAAATGTGATTTGAAGTTGTAATCTTGTAGTTCCAAATTGTTAATACAAGGCTCCAATTTGTACTTCATTTGTTACATTTTTGAATATACTAATGAGAATTCCTCATTGTTTTCTTCACCTACTTTTTCTTCTTTCAATCTCTCGATACTCAACCCATTCATTAAATCTCAATCCCTTCAACGGTTCCTTTTCTTGTGCAGGACAGCCGCCTGGCATTTCTTGCAGCTTATCCTCATCTTTTCTTCTCCTGTCTTTCTCTATCGCTGTCAAGTTCATACAGCATGAGTGGAAACTGATTCAAGTTCCTTAAAAACATGAGGTAGTAAAACTGATGACTTGCTTGTTCAGTGCAAGCAACTATGAACAATGAGAGATATCTTGAAGTCGAGAGATGCTCTTTATTTCCTGTGTTGCTTTTAATTTCAGCATTTGGGAATGCAAAGACCATACGGAATGATAACTCCAGTAGGTTTGGAAAATATATTGATATTCACTTCAACAAGCAGGGTATTATTGAAGGTGCCAAAATCGAACAGTACCTGCTTGAAAAGTCTCGGATTGTGAGCCAAGTAAGTCTTCCTGAATGTACCTTCACTGCTGCGATGTTCAGTTCTTGGAGGAGTGTAGACATGAAATCGGACAGTGAGCTGACACGAAAACTGACTACAGCATGAACTTTGCTTTAGTGCAAGGAATACTGTGACAAATTTTGACAGAGGACAGACGACTTAAAGCTAATTTAGTGTAGTTTCGAAGTGCAGAAACAAAACACATTTCCTCTTTCAGACTTATTGTGACTTGCATCAGTGAAAACATCGAAATATAGATGCAAAACCTGTGATTTTGGAGGTACGAAAGGCGATTATAATGACTGCGATTATGTGTTGTAGGAAAACATGTCAATGTCCCATGCAAAGGGATCACCAATGAAATGGTTTTACACTTCCACTTGCTCGTGGTCGGATTTCCTCAATGTCCTCAGCAAGAACATCGTCTTGCTTCTGGTAGATGCAGCGGTGCGTTTCGGTTGTACTGGCTCTGCAAAGAGGCGCACATCTGAAACGTAGCAGAGGGCAAATCAGTACGCTAACTTCACCGCTTTGGTACTGCACGTGATGTTGCTCTCGCATGAAACTAAATTGCATTGTCACCAGGAGCTTTTTAACATCTTTGTGGGAGCATCTTCATGAAAATTTCATTGTCTACATTTCTTTCATGGTGTGATATGATACTGGACATTATATCTGTATTTTTGCTTATCGTCATTACCCCTTTGTTAGCTTTGGTAATAGCATGTTAAAGAGACAGATAATTGGTCATAACACAAATTGAGATAACACCACTAATTAAAAGATTGTCTATTGTGTTGTCTAAAATGGCCCCAGTGCTTGTTGCCAAACACGGACTTATATTTTTGTTTCTTCACTCTTGTTGCCTCTCGCAACAAAAGTGAAGATGTGCTCTGGTGATCTCTTGACCTTTTACAGGTGGTGCTATTAATAGTCTCTGTAGTGGCATTTAAATGTAGCACACCTTTTATTAGAATCTTTTCTAACTTCAGCTATGGCTTCATTTGTACGGAGCGAAACAGTGGCGTTGCCTTCGCTTCATGCTCGCAAGCGGCAGCACGAATGTGCAGCACATCTCTTATTATAATCTTTTTTAACTGAAAACATTGAGCTATGGCTTCGTTTGTACGGAGCGAAACAGTGGCTCTGCCTACGCTTGACGCGCACGAGCGGCAGCACGAATGTTGTCAGCTGAGGTCCTAGTGGCACTTGCTGGTGAGTTGAAGTATGAAGAACATTTCATAACCTCCACGATTAGCTCTGGCACCTATAACACTCATTTGGCTTCCCTTCAAGTGTTACAGAACCAATTCATAAAAATAATTCGTAATAGTTTACATTTTTCTAACGATAAATGCCTCCTTCATGGTAAAAACATCCTAACTATCTCGGAGCTTCTCAATTACAACTTACCCATAGGTCGCGGGTTCGAATCTCTGCTGCGCCAGCCACATTTTCAATTGAGGCAAAAATGCTTGAGGCCACTGTGCTTAGATTTAGGCGCATGTTAAACAATTCCAGGTAATCGAAATTTCCGTAGCCCTTTACTACAGCGTCTCTCATAATCCTATGGTGGCTTTGAGACGTTCAACCCCAACAATTCTATTATTATGTTATCTATTACAACATGGGTATCATATTTTCTAAATACATAACAAAGACACTGCCTTCAATCTGTTTCTCATCTACTGACCTGATTTCCCATAGTAATATACTAGATTTGCACCTAACAAAAACACTCTTTTGCCCAAGGCATGCACTAATTATGGTCAACAGACTGCTGAATTTTGATTGATATCACTATGAAGTGCACTACCAGCTTCTATAAAAAATACAAGACACTTACATCAATTTAAGACAGAACTAAAATGACCTGCTTAGTAATACTGTTTCGTTTTGTAGCTTCATTTTGTTTCAATTTCCACATTTTGTGTATTCTAGCTTTTTGTTGTTTTTTACTTCTACTGCTTAGCATTATTCATCGCTTCATTTTGTTTCAGTGTGTATATTTTGGTTTGATTTTGTATATATCTTTACTGTTCTGCTGCAAACGTGTTTCATCTAATTTAATTATAGTTAGTGCTTATATTGCTACAGACATCATGTTTCACGGTAATCTGCCCTTAACAGGTGGTCTCGATGTAGTGTTTATCTTTGGGACCTCCTTATGTAACACATGTAACATTCTTGTACTTGTATCAATCAAAAATTCTGAAATTCCAAAAAGTTGCGGGAGCTAATCATGGAAGCTACAAGCACCTTACTTGGCTCGTGAGGCAGTAAAGAGATCTCTCTAGATAATAAGTGCCCGGGAAACTTATTGTACCTGCTTTTTTTTATCAAAAAATGACTGCGAATTTCAATATGAAGGTGGTTAACCACAGTTTTACTCACTACTGTGAAAGGAGAACATTGAGTGTAATGTGGGGAGGGCTATCGGCATCTCTGTTATTTCACAGCAATGCTGGAGGAGGCCTTCGTCCGTTTTTTTCAGACAGAAAAATACGTGCTTTTTGGATCAACTGCAACAGGTTGCTCACACACTACGATGTGTGAGCGTCCTGTTGCAACATAAAAAGCCCGTGCTGCAAAATCGATTGTCAGTCCTTTCGGTACTTGAGGATCAGAATTCATAAGAATCGTACTAAGCTGTAAGGTACTAGATTTGTGACCCACATAGCTGGATATTTTAGCGACACTCTTATTGTTTTATTACTTTATTTTTTTTTTCCTCCAGGCACAGTATGAAAGGAATTACCACATATTCTACTGCATGCTGTCTGGTTTGAGTAAAGAAGACAAGGCAAAACTTGAGCTTCAAGATGCCTCAAAATACCATTATTTGACTCAGGTAAGTTTTTTTTTTTAAATTCTTTTTCAGGAACTAGGCATTTTAACAAACCCAATGAATTACTGTTGCTTTAATGACGAGTTCCTTTATAGTTTTTAACACGTGCATAAGAATTGTACAGCGACGCATGATGATTTCAGAAATTTGCAACTTGTAACATTACTTCTAATTGTTTGTCTTAAACAGGGAGGAAGCATCACGTGCGAAGGCCGGGATGATGCAGCTGAATTTGCTGACATTCGGTCAGCCATGAAGGTGCTAATGTTTTCAGACCACGAAATTTGGGACATTCTCAAGATACTGGGCATTGTGCTACATCTTGGCAACATCAAGTATAAACGTGAGTGCTCAGCCAGAATACATCCTCACTGAATGTGAGGAATAATATAAGTAACATATTATGAGTAACGGCAAAAAATTATTTAAAATGCTTAATGCATCTACCATGTGTCAAAACTTGACCATTTCAGCCCGCTTAATCGACAACCTTGACGCTGTGGAGCTGATTGGTGCCGGGAGTGTCCAGAGTGCGGCAAAACTTCTCGAGGTAAACACTGTTCTTAGTGTTCCACCTTGTGCCTGATTCTTATCTTTATTTTTCAGCTTAGTTCGCCATGTAATGAAAAGCATTTCCTTTCATGTTAGTTTGATTGCATGTTACAAGCTTTATCTTTCTGAACTGCTCACCAAAATTAAGCAGTGGCTTAGAAACTTTGAGCATCTGTTATTTACTGCTTCAAATATTATGTTCATTATGTACACAGAAACTTTAGAATAAGCTGCCTTTGCAACTACGTCCATGCACACTTTACACTCGAACCTTTTTTATGGAAGAACTCTTTTATACACAATCAGTATCATTTTCAATATTGCTTGGCATACAATGACGAAAAACACAAGGTCAAAGGAAACATTTGGCAGAAGTCTGCCTGGTTGGGATAGCAGTGAGGCAATCGGAAAAACTTTAACCAAATATTGTACTCAGGAACCCAATGTTTCGAATCCAGACTGGCTTCTTCCTCATGGTTGAGAAAGCCCCAGATATGCAGAAACTGCTCCGCCCCAAGCCTCTATGGCCTCCTAAAAGTTCATAAGACCAGAGTTCCCCTTCGTTTATTGTCGATTTCTCACATTCTCCTCTTTGGGCTTTGTCAACCTATCTTGACAAGATGATAGTTCCTCTGACTGGCAAGGCAGAAATATACATCCGGCACACCGGACGTTTTGTGGAAATCGCATCCTACGTGAGTGTGGATGAAACCAATTGCGTGGTGTCTTTCTGTGTGGTTTCCCTTTCCGCCATTGTACCTGTTCTGCTTGCACTTTCCGTGATGCGCTGGGCTCTCGAAGGCAACGTAACCCTGAATGACAGAACACTGCTTTCGGTTGATAAGATATGCCGGCTGTTGGAATTCTGACTCTCCAGCACCTATTTCTTTTTTAACAATGCCTTTTTCAAGCAGACCAGCGGAACCGCCTTGGGGGCGGTGATATCGGTCACGGTGGCAGCACTCGAGACGGAGGATGTTGAAAGGTGGGCGCTTTTCGTGTTTGATCCCAAGCACAACATGTTTGTACGCTAAGTGGACGATTGCATCTGTGTGGTGAAGTCTCGCGAGGTCGAGAACTTGCTTGCATGCCTGAACTCTGTTGAGCCTGATATACCATTCACAGTGGAAAGAGAGAACCATTCGGCTCTCCCCTTTCTAGGTTTACTAGTGAAAAGGCAACAACAGAACCTGTCCTTTTCAGTTTTCAGGAAACTTACCCACAGGGGACGCTACCTCCATTTGAGCTCAAACTACCCCACATGCCACAAGCTTTCTATGGTATAAAGCCTTTTTGGGATGGCTGAAAGAATTTTCCCATCACCACAGTGGCGGAAGGAGCAAAGGAATAGAATCATCAGTGACCACAGTGCCAACGGCTACACAAAATTGTTTGTTTGCAGAGCCCTCCACAAGAGTAAAAAAATGTGGCACCTGCATCCCCGCAAGGACAACGCGTGACCATCCCGTGCGTCGCTAGCGCTAACGAAAAATAGCCCGCATACTTAAAAAGGCAGGCGTCAACGTTGCCCACAAGCCATCCACCATGATTGCCAGTTTCAACATGCACCCCAAAGATCACGTGCCTGCAGAAATATGTCAGGGTGTTGTACACTGGATCCAGTGCAACGACTGCCCCACTTCCTACATCGGAGAAACAAAGGATGCGACAGCACAAAAATGATCCCCATCAATTTAACAGGCAACAAAGCGCAGTAGCAGAACACTGCGAGCAGTTTGACCACCACATTTACCCGGAAGATGCAGTGATTCTGGAGATGCAGTGATTCTGGAAGAAAGGAACACCCGCCCGCAACTCCTCCTTGAATTCTGGCACATTCAGCAGGCAGGGGGGAACGTCAACAGGTCCACGGAAACATTGCCCTCCCTCTATTGCCAGGGTTTGCGACGGGTCGTGGCGAACCTTTCACACAAGGCGAGCGAGCGTATATAAGCACCACTATCTCTGGCTTTCTCATCCCCTGAGAAAGAAGCCGGTTTGGCTTCGAAATTTTGGGTTTCTGAATACAGTTTTTGGTTGGAGTTTTTCTAATTGCCTCAAAACGTAGATTGTTCTCTCAAAAAGCTAAGGCATGACAGGGCAGTAAACTGTTTAATTTCTATCTTAGTAAAGACAAGAAAAAATGACTTTTTTAATTCTTTCTCAAATAGGTCAACCAGCAACACCTAATGGATGCCCTGACAACTCGTACCATATTCGCGCATGGCGACACTGTAGTCTCAACAATGAGTGTGGACCAATCCAAGGACGTGCGTGATGCATTTGTCAAGGGAATCTATGGCCGCATGTTCATTTGGATTGTGAATAAGATAAACTCCGCAATCCACAAGCCAAAGTCAGCTGCGGGTCATTACCGAACGTCCATAGGTGTGCTCGACATCTTTGGCTTTGAGAACTTTGCTGTCAACAGGTGAGCTTGGAAAGCTGATGGCTTTAAATTACAAAGCTCGTGTTACCTGTCCATGTTTTAGTGTTGCACTAGGACACATTTTTTCGCCAAGCTATATAAACGACTACTCAATTTTCTTGGCTACAGTGTTTTCAATAGAAGAGTCATGCTAATATATTTCTCTAGCACCATTTGGTCAGATGAAATTGTTTTATCATCGCTTATCTAAGCTTAAATTAGAGTAAAGCTTAAATATTTGTGGTTTTCTTTGTCTACTTTCCTAACTGTAGGATTGTGCTGAAATTTACGAGTCAGCTTTGTTGAAGAGTCAGCTTTTATGATACTGTGTCTGTTAAACAAAACGTGCTGCTCTTTCACAAACGTTATCAACAGTTTTTCTGGCCTGCAATGTTACTGTTATAAGGTAATTATACATAGTTGTCTGTAATTACTAGATCTTTTTGTCAGTCACTATAAGTTATCTCTGTCTTAGTCACTCTTAGTTTTCTCTGTCCTGTGTCTACTTTTTTGTAATGTAAAAAGTTATGGAGTACACCATTAACTTAGCCTAACTAACTGACTGAGTTAAACAAGTCATATGCAAAGAATATTGAGAAGAAAGCATGCCTAGAGTTATGTGTTCCAGGTTGAGTTGCCATATTTAATAATCAAACACCATACCTTTATTTTATTCTATAGGCAAACAGATGAATTGAAGTATCATAGATGTCTTTCTAATATTCTTGTACCGTGTATGTTTAGCTCTGCCATTTTCATTTATTTATAGATAGCAAAATAGGGCATATTTGAGTGGGACAAGCAGTGAATTTCACAATTTGCTTTGTTTGTGACCTCTTTATTTTTTGCTATGTTTAACTATACACTCTCTGCTTGTGCCTTTCCTTCCCAGCTTTGAGCAGTTCTGCATCAACTACGCCAATGAGAACCTGCAGCAGTTCTTTGTGCGGCATATCTTCAAGCTTGAGCAGGAGGAATACAACCTTGAGTGCATCAACTGGCAGCACATTGAGTTTGTGGACAACCAGGACTGCCTGGACCTCATCGCTGTCAAGCCCATGAACATCATGGCCCTGATTGATGAGGAAAGCAAGTTCCCTAAGGTCAGGAAGAAGAAGTCTTCTCACTGCCTAATCGGAACAGTTTTTGTTGCGGTGCCATGCAACCACGTGCCATAAAGTGGAAAGGTTAATGGAAATACCGAATTCGCATTCTACTACTAGTTGCAGGCAATTTATTGTATAAAGACATGCAGTCTAACTTGTAGTTCTTATACTATAACCTAATACATCATCACAGTTTTTTCCTCTGAATAAAATCAAACCAATATAGTTATATTGAGTTTTTATCCAGATAAGTGTTCACCTTAATCGTGAATGACATGTAATGTACTCACGGAAAGTGTGTTCCTTTATGTGCTATAAAGAGCAGAAGTTTACGGGACACTGGATTCACAACCAATGCGAATTTCTGCTATCTCAGTGCTTAATGCTTATAATCAAGCTGGCAACTGTATAGGACAGAATGCCAAGTGAAGTATGTAATATTTATTTTGAGATTACATTCCCTAGACAAAGTGGGAATTTAAGCTTTATCAAACTTTTCGCCTCCGGCAAACACTTGCTGTTGGTAGTACATTGAACTAACAGTATGAGTTTTAAAGCCCAGTTGAGCTAAAAACTTTTTCATTAGAATCTCTAGTTCTCTTTCTGTATCAAAATTGTAAAGTGGGCTGGTTAATGCAAATTCATTTTTGAAGAAAAACAGCGCACAGAAAAAAAATAGTAAGTAGACATGAGAAAAGAAAGACGCTGCACTGTGTGCCTTCCCTTTTTTTATTGTGCAATATCTACATTTGGAAAATGAATTTTCTCTCTGTAATGCATGTGTTAGGTCCGTCTTTTTCGATTTAAGTGCACCTTAAAAAACCCCGGGTAGTAGAAATTCTTGGAGCGCTCCACTAAGGCATCTCTCACAACCATATTATGATTTTGTTATTTAAAGGGACCCTGAAATGGTTTTGGCAATTTTGTACAAACACATTGGGCCAGTAGACAAAGTTCAAAGGGTTATTTAGAGACTAATTTGAGCTCACTGCTTAAACTGTGTAATTTATCGCAACACCGTAAAGCTGCTAATTGCTGCAGATTGGTGCAGATCATTGGGACTCAGCCAAACACGTTTTCAACCGCCCATTCACAGAGCGACATTCTCTTGGCCAGAGCACGTCAGCAGCCACACCACCGTGGCTACTGATCTGGTTGCCTGTCATGAGCTGTAGAATGCATGAAAATAAGATTGGCTGGTAGGGTGGCGGCACCTATCAGAGCTGATATGAACCACCGCACGATCTTCGTCTCTGTTGCCAGGCGGCGTGCAACGCTGCCAGGTGCACTACGTGATGGCCTCCGAGATTGCGTGCAACCTGTGAGCGTATGATTTCAAAGATCTAGGTTGGGAAAAGCTTAAATCGTCGAGCGTGCTCGTGAAAGCTCTCCGATCCCCAGCAATACCAGCGTGCCTCATGAGTTGAGGAGGCCCGACAGAAGCGAGCAAGGAGAGTATGACATAATTGTCCTGTAGCGGCCTTGATACACGGCGTGTTACTAAATTTGTGGTGCGAACGGTTTGATGATGCTCTAGCCTAAACGCTGAGAAAACTTCAAAAAACTATTTCAGGGTCCCTTTAAAATCCCAACTATTAATATTATTATATATGGTATGTCTTCCAAGAATGCAAACGTATTATATTGATAGTTACAAATACGTAAGCTTTGCTACTTTTCTATTCGTTCTAAACAGCAGTGCAGAGTGTTTTCTAATATATATTTGCATTGAGATGGGGAAAACGTGTTTCACTTGAAATGAAAGATCATCTGTTTGAAGCTGTTTTTCACTGTTTGAAGCTGTTTTTCACTTGAAACCAAAATCGGCAGTTGTTAGTCACATTCCACAGGACAAGAAATAAAGTTAATTTCCCTCCTTCCTTTCCTCATAGCAGTTTCACTGTAAAAGATAACCAGCTTTTAACTTTTTTACTAGGAATATGTGCTCCCCGTATCCTGTGTTGCGTGCTTTATTCATTGTCTTGTATTACACGTTATCTTCCATGACACAATGCAGGGCACTGACCAGACATTGCTAAACAAGCTCCACAAGACTCATGGAACTAACAAGAACTACCTGAAGCCAAAGTCTGACATCAACACGGCGTTTGGGTTGAGCCATTTTGCCGGGGTGGTCTTTTATGATGCCCGAAACTTCCTGGAGAAGAATCGTGACACATTCAGTGCTGACCTGATCCAGTTAATACAAGTCAGCAACAACAAGTTTCTTCAAACCTCTTTGTCAACGACATTGGCATGGTATGCAGACACACTCTGCCTTGGTGTCATATGTCTATGTAATGGAGTAATACAAGAGCTTGGTAGCATTGTTATCTTGTTTGAGGGGTATCATGAAAGTCTACTCTGGGTAGAAGAAAGAAATTAAACTCATCTTTCTTTTGATTGGAGTATCTAGGCTGCTTCCGAAGCAAGTTTCCTGTGTGGCAACCTGAACTGTCTATTAAAGTGGTGATGCAAGCAAGTTAAGGAGATACGACTTTTTTCAGGGACTATTGAGATTCTGTGATGCCTGACCACACTGCTGAAAGATGTTTAATATACAGGCATGCCCTGCTTAAGTTCCAACATGCTGACCATGTTTAAAGCAGTGTGAACATATCACAGTGGCGCTGACATACAAAACAATCAGCGACATAAACACTGTTTTGAATACTGGTATTTGCAAGGCTAGTTTCACATTTGCCATTTTTACGGTATAAACTCTGGCCGTCCCTTCAACCTTGACCAGTGTGTTGCAACTCACGTTGAACACCACTGTTCCTAATTTATCATTAGGTGCACACTGGCTGCTTCAGTATGCTTTTGCAGCAGTGGTGGATGGTCTACCAGAACGCTGTGTGTGGCTGTACATGGTTTGGGCATACGACACGCCTGCAGGTGTCTTTAAGGCCCACTTTCGATGTAATGCACACTCAGCACCAGGCCAGGAAACATTTACATCTTGGAGAAAAACCAATTGATTTCCAGTACTATCAGTATTCAAACCCACTGTCTTCTGCATATGAGTTATATGCTATACCGCAAAATTCAAGCTGCATTTCCTCTTTGGTCCTATGTGTATGTGCTACCCTTCACACATAAGTGCCAACTTGGTAGGCTTACTGTGCTCCTTCCTTAGTGTACTATTGCTTATTTTGATTGTCCAAGCTTTGTAACCTTATAGAAGCAATGACAAGTTTGTTAGTTGCTATATATTCGATTCTTTATCATTTATTTATTATTTTTATTTCACTTGGTTAAAAGTTTTGATTGCAAGAAGTTACCTAATTGTGATGTTCGAAGCATAACTGTTAACTGTTCTGTCCGGAGAACAAGTTAAAAATAACACAGAGATATGCACAACTAACTGGCTTTGCACAAACAATGCATACATAAGGTTTGTGTGTAGAGGTGGGCACAAGCATTCTTGCTTTCTTCAGTGATGTCATGTGTGCCTTGCAGGGCACAGACACTCGTAAGAAGACGCCAACGCTGAGTGCCCAGTTCAAGAGGTCCCTTGACTCTCTGATGAAGGCATTAAGTCAGTGCCACCCTTTCTTCATCAGGTGCATCAAGCCTAATGAGAACAAGAAACCCATGGTGAGTGATACATACCTGTTTAGGTTTCATGTTCTGTTTAGCTGTGCTGCACGGTGACTGCTGCCTCATTTGCAGCGAGCTCATAACATTACTCACAGAAGTGTTCAGGTGAGCAAGTGCATCAGACAGTGTCACACCCTGAACTTTTTCAGCTGTGTTATTCATGGTTGAATGAGGTAACTGTCTTGGACGAGCCTGCAAATGCTTACATGTCAGTTCAGTAGCTAACAGAGGCACTGAAAAAGAATTTGTACTCCAAAAAAATGTTTCTTGACTAGTACTCCCATGTCAGTCAATTTCTTTCACGTCTGATTGAAATTCTAGGACATGCCAGCCCTCTAGAAAATTTGCCCTGAAAAATGCCCTGATTGATCAAGTCAGTGCCAATTTTTTTTTTTTTGCTATTAGCCCTTCAACATTACAGAAGTTTCATAAATTTCAGTGGTAATATCTTTTGTTTAGCATGTATTACAATTAGGGGAAGGAGGAACCTAGACCATGCTTACAGCGAACTGATCGCTTCAGTGCTCCCTTTTTGTTAGTTGCTACACATGGTTCAATGTGATGGTTTTGCACAAAATTTTAGAGAACAAAGCATGAATACAAATAGAGTGAGCCAAATAAAACACAGAGTGATGTGTCATCTCGGATAATGCTGGCAAATAATTGTGCATATACCAGTTTTTGATGAGTTGATGGACAGTGCTGCAAACTGCCGATGGCAATGAAATCTGTTTCTGCACAGATGTTTGACAGGGAGCTGTGCTGCAAACAGCTGCGCTACTCGGGCATGATGGAGACCATCCGAATTCGACGAGCAGGCTATCCGATCCGACACACGTTTCGGGAGTTTGTCGAGCGCTATCGCTTTCTCATCCCTGGTGTCGGCCCCGTGCACAAGGTTGATTGTCGTGCGGCTACGGCTCGCATCACGGCCGCTGTTCTTGGCAAGGCGGACTACCAGATGGGGAAGACGAAAGTGTTCCTCAAGGTCAGATTTTGGCTGTTTATCGAGCTTATTGAGCTACCTCCACAGCTCTCTGTCTAATGTTTTGCTTTAGTAAAGCTGTGGAATGTTTGAAATTAGTAGGCTTGTACAAATGTTCCAATGCTCTGAATATTTGAAAAAAATATTGTAGTATTCCAATTTGCTTCGATTCGAATTTCAATTATTGAAGATTCGAGATGAACGAATAGAAGTATATTAGGCGGTATGGAATCTTTGTAAAGGTGGTTTCGTTGCAGTGGAGGAGTGCTAAGCTGTGAAAGCATCTAAATGTATAATTATAGTTTGCATAAAATGTTTTGTTAAGGTGGTTTCACAGCAGTCAGCAAATGCTAAGCTGTGAAAACATCTACTCAGAAGAAATCTGATTGCTATGAAACCTCACTTTAAGGTTAAATGAACATACTACGCTCACATCGATTCACAATTTTTTTAAATTTAGAAGCTTTTTATACTGGCCCATATGCTTGAAGTAGAGTAAATTTTAAAACGTAACATATTTTACATGTTGGCACTCGCATTCTCCCAAAGGTCCAGTTATGATACTATTCAAAGTTAACTTCACATTCCAAAAAAAAAAAAAAGGCATTTGCATGCAGGCCTTTTTTCAATTTTTTAAAATATTGTGCAGATTAGTTAGGTTATGACAAATATGCCTATTTTTCTTCATAATATGTGGTATGCAGTATTCGAATGATATTAAAAATTATTCGACCAAAATCCGTACTTGCATCGAATTCGCTTCTAACCTAAACATCACTATTCTCACAAATCTAGTAATCAGGTTGTTGCAACCGCCTTTGCTTTGCTTTTTTAAAAATAAAAAAAAAACAGGATTTGTTAACAATCACATTTCTCTGAAGCAAAATATGGTATATAAATAATAAAATAAATCAGTTTTATTATTATCAATGTGTTCAAGAACTTCACAAATTGTGTTTGCACATCTGTGCCCCAGCACTTCTTTCTAATGGGAACAAAGCTCTGCTTCTTAGAACACCTTTGTTCTCCTGTGTGTCTTTACTTTGAGAGCTATTTTAATCACTCATAATGATCCTCCTTTTATGTTAAAAGAACCTCACTCAAACTCTGTGATATAGCTTGTGTTTCTCTTCACTGTAAAACTAGATTCTATTCTTGCAGTTATCAAACACAGCAAGGGTAAATAAATTCCATGTGCCAGTCTAACCAAATTCACGATTTGTTTAATGAACTGTTACAAAGCAATCTGTCTTTTTATCTGCTCATTCTTCATTCACTCTCTACATCAATGCTAATCTGTATTCCACTATGTTTGAACACTTTTTTTTTTACACAGATCTAGGTCCGCGCTGTGATGCTTGTTAAATAGTTGTGATGAACCTTGCCGATACCACGCATCCGCAAAGTTCATCACAAATTTGTCATATTCGTGTAAAAATTTTTTTGCAGGAAACTAGCCTGAGAAATTCTCGTCTCTCGCCCTAATCAAGTGAGCTTTTTCATGTGTGAAGCATGGGTACATTGTGCTACACTATAAAGCACTGCCTAATGGCCTGTAGTGTAATAATTGAATGCTTCACTGCATGGTTCTTGTAGCTAATTGGTATTCTGTGCTGTTGTACTCCTGCATGACCCAGTAGCAGTATGTTATTGGCTGGTATATACCACTATGTGTTCTTGGTGAGAGCATTTTTTCTAACATCTTTGCAAGCGTAAAAAAACAAGTTAAATTTAATTTCTTTGTGTTCGAGGACATTACCACTTTACTGAATTACGTCGAAATTACGTTATGGAACAGAAACCAACTCAGCCAGACAAATTTTTTCATCACCATGTTTCTGACTAGTATATATTGTTTTGTTGTATGTATAGTACTATAACATTCTTAAAATATGTTGCACAGGTTGCAAAAGCAACAGTAAAATAGTACACTGATTTGAGCGACCCACCAAGATAATGTAGTGGCAGAAAATCTGTGCACCTGTAGTCACCCCTAAAAGAAAAAAAAATGCGAGGGGAAAGCCATGAGGTAGATATTATGCGCAGTATGGAAGCTTTATCTACTTTTCAAGGTTTTGTGCTCGCGTCCTACTGCCTGGTAAGACAGGTAAGAGATAAAAAGAGCACAGCTTCATGATTGGGGTCTTAATTGCTTGGAAAGACGTTTGTTGCAGTAGTTCTAGGTCTTGTCGTAAAATAGTGGAACTGTTAGTTGTGCATAAAAAATAGTTGGCTGACTGCTGGAAAAAGTGTGTCTAACTTCTGCACGTTATACAAGTTGTTGGCTTTTTGTAATGTGCTGATCTGTAGATTAGTTTTGTGCTTGTTATGGTATCAGTTATGCTTGATGTTTGAAGTGTTATATGCATTTCTTTTTCTTTATTATTGTAGTTTGTTATTTGGCACAAGGTTCTTGTGATGCCGTGTTGAAGAATTAGACTTGTCTTGTTTTAAAATCGTACTATCAGTGAAATCTTTTCAAATGTTCGCATTTTATTTGGTAGTGTGTTTATCTGCGCAGCTGAAGGCAACATGTATGCACATACTATACTTATTGGTGCAAGACCCACGTCACCACACTGTAGTGTAGATGTTTGGAAAGGGGCAAGGGGGAAGATCTGGGATGTCACATGTGAGGACATGCAAACTCGTTCTGTTTAATTTCTCCTAGCTCTATGTGGCAAAAGAAGTTAGCATTCCTGTCACGATGACATCGTCGCCATCATCACGTTATGTCCGGATCATCGGGTTTTTATTACCGCAATGCAATATTGATTACATTGTGGGTCACTGTTTAGCTATATCCTGCTTTCTGTGTGCTTTCAAATTTGAAACTGTCAAGAGATCCCAGGTGATTGAAGCACGGAAAAGGGAGGTTTGTCGAATGATAAAAAATGTGGAATCGGTGATGATGACAGAGCTATATGATGTTCGCAGTCGGTTGCCAGAGGGAATATGATTCGTCATAGCAGTCCAAGTGCAGTATAATGTTTTGCTCTGTAAAAGAATATCGTAAAGTGCCTTGCTCAAATGCATACGGTTTATAGCTTACAGTGACATTAGCACATTCATGGAAGTAATTATTGAGAAGAACAGCCTTTGCTTGAGGCAAAGTGTATTAAGGTGCTTGCCATACACTCAGTCTTCTGTCCAATTTTTCATGCTGCAGAAATAATCTTCTTAATCCTTTCACTTGCAGGATGCACACGACTTGTTTCTGGAGCAGGAGAGGGACCGGGTGCTGACCCGCAAGATCTTGATTCTGCAAAAGGCCATTCGAGGCTGGTACTACAGACGTCGCTTCCTCAAGATGCGCAAGAGCACGCTCACCATTCAGCGGTGCTTCAGGGCCTACTTGCAGCGAAAGCGTTTCTGGCGGTATGCATGAGGCAGCTGACTTCTAATTGTGGCGCACAATATCATCATTTCTGTCTTCAATTCAGCCCCTTTGTTCTTTGTAGTTCTCATTTTACGATGCTTTTATTTTTTACCAAATGCCACGACAAAAAAATTTGTGAACACTTCGGTGAACTTCTCTTTGCTTAAGGCGCTTATTTATAGGTGACATCTTGCTTTCAATTTGTTTTTTTTCCCAGTCATGATTTCTTGTTGCTCAAGAAGAGTGCTCTTATGGCTACTTCCCTTTGCATTTAATGCTGGGATTCTTTTGTTTGAGTAAACATCTAATCTTAGCTCGAGGATGCCCCCTGCCACTCAATATCAAAGTACTCATGGCACAAAAAATTTCTCAAGGCTATTATAAAACTACTGTTTTTTTTTTCTCACATTTTCACCAACATAAATTGTAAGTTCCCCTCTCTAGTCAATTTGACTTGTAAAGCAGTCAGTGTATGTCAGACACATTTTTTAGCAAAGTAAGCAATTCTTTAGTGTTCAAGCAGCTAAAAGGCACCCTTGTTCATAAAAAACCTGCATCAAGCTGACAGAATTTACTGATGATTTTTTTCTTTACTCTAGAGCTATCTATGAAAAGTTCATACCTTACTTCAGCTTGAATTTCAAATATGCAGAGCCTACTCTAGCTGGGAGTTAGAGAAAGCATTCTCAAGGTAAACCGAGAGGGAATTTTTGGTGATTAATAATCTTTACTGATAGGACAGAAACTGGCGATGTGAAAAGCATAAGTGACAGATCACTCTCTGTAATAAGCCAGTCATCATTACTTGTAACTATTCTGAAATCTTGTGGATGTAGTGTATGATTACAATTCTCATTTATAATCTAGCATGCAAGTTTCATTTGGGGTGAAACCAAGCCCGCTCTTAACAGTGTTTTTGTATTCACTTGTTGTTGATTGGCCCGTTAATAAAGTTAAATAACTGTAATTCACACATATTCTTGCCATTGCAGATGAGAACCGGCTACCAGCGGCTACAAGCCTTGATCCGGTCTCGTGTCCTCTCACACCGCTTCAAGCATCTGCGAGGACACATTGTGACCCTTCAGGTAGCATGCGCAACTTTTCTCTTCCAAGTGCAAGGTAAAATGAAATCAACTTTTGGAAAATAATGTTTTAGAACTTTCTATGCAGAATGAAAAACTGATTATTTCGAACTGCAGTAAGCTGCAGATTTGAAGGGTGATGTTTAAATAGGAAATATTTTTTAAAGTAAGCAGTGACAAAAATTATTGCTCAAGCTGTGATACCTATTATATTTGTAGTGCAGTAAAACCTCCGTGTAATATACTACTGGATGTATGAAAATAAATTCAAAATGTTTTTCAGGAATATAAGCATGTAATGAATGCATGCCTATAATGAATATTGAATACAATGTTATATTCAAGCTTATAATAGCAAGGTTCAAGTGTATTTTTGCTTAAACTTCTTTGTTATTTTTTTTTAATGTGGAAGAAGGTGAGGCAGTGTTAGTGCATCTTGTTGCAATCTTACACATTCACAACAATGAGTTTGATGCTTTTAAACAGCACATTTCTCTATCATTGATCCATATCTTTTGTTTCTGTATTTATACAGAAATCGCTAAAGAAGTTTTTCCATTTTATTTGACTGATTTGCAGTTCAAGTGCTTCTTCTCGAAATGCACGATGAAAATGCAAGACTTCATTTACAGTCAATCATGCTAAAACTTCTCCAATGTGTTAAAGCTGGGTGTGGGAAACATTTACCGTAGGTAATAGCAAGCAGAGCATCTTTCATAGCTTCCAGTTGGTTTAGCTCGTGCTTCCATTAAGCTCACATCTAACATCTTTACTTAAATGTTGTCCCTGCTAAACAGGCTCTCTGCAGAGGCTTTGTGGTGCGTCGAGAATACCAGAAGAAGCACGCTGCTGTGATCAAGATCCAGGCATTCGTCCGCAGGGTCATTGCCCAGAAGAACTACCAGAGAATGAAGATAGAGGTGAGACAGTGCAAGACGTTTGTGACTGTGAATTCAGGTTTATTTACAGACAGTGCGTGAGCAACTTGATCTAAACACACTACTTCACATTGGTAGCACCATTACAGTCGATGACAAACTTTCGGACTCCGAAAATTCAGACTTGATAGATATTTCGAACTTCTAAGTGCACCGTCAAGGTTCCTGTAGCACTAATACTTTTTCACGACTGATTTTTCAGAAAAATTTTTGCCCTAAAGTTCAACTGTCGGGACCAAATCTCTCACATTTAGCCACACTGTTTAGTTTTGAAAGTTGCCATGTTAGGTTTTCTGCTGGCTTGGTCAAGTTTGGCTTTCAGTGACCAGTTGTGTTGGTTCTAAGGTTGGGAGTGCACACAACCTTCCACTTGTGAAGCCCAGACACTTTCTTGACTTGCAAAACAGTCTAGGTGACACAGCTTTTCTTCATAATTTTTAAAGATAGATGTACACATTTACAAGAGAGGTAAGGTACACAGCACCTTGTGATTGCGTTTTTATGGGCCTTAGAACCAATTATAAGTGTACTCCAACCCTCTCAACAAAAAGTTCTTGAAATTCAATTCCCTTCTTCGGTCAGCCTTATCGTCATCGTTAATCTGCCAGTATAATTACCGTGAAAGATGTTATGAGATCGCAGCAAGGGCCATTTTAGATGCCATAATTGTCTGCCACCAGTGTCCATAACCACAATTGTGCAAAATGAGAAAGTAAAAATGAAATAAGAAAAAAAGATATTCAGGATTGAACAGGATTCGAACCTGGGTCCCACGGCAGCCCAGTATTCTACCACAGTGCTCGAAACTCCTTTGCAAAAAGACCCTATACAGGTATGTATTGTGTCAGGAAGATACCACCCTAACATATGTAATATAGTGTGGTAGAAGAGTAAAATAACAACCTTGTTTCACAATCTGAATCGTGTAAGCAGCCGTCGCACAATACGAATTGCTTAACAAGTAGGTTGTTCAATGCTTCCAACCCATTGCAGAGAGTTTAGCCATAACTCTTCAAAGTCGTCATACATTGCATCAACAAAGGGCACATAATGCCTTTTAAATGTGTAGCGGTTACCTTGTTTCTCCGCAGAAGGACTGGGGAAGTGATCGCCAACGCACTGGCGTTACTGTAGCCCGCACACAGCAAAATCTGCTCGTCCTCAAGAGTACCTTGAAGCAGGGCGTTAATGGAGATCTTTTTAGGCTGCTCTAATCCAAATAAGCTTCATTTTCACATAATAACAACTTTATTGGACTGTTAAACTTTTCGGACTTTTTTTGTGATCCCTGCCAGGTTTGGAAAATCAGCCAGAAGCTGTACCTGTCTTTATTATGTAGATATGATGTTGGGCATAATTAACAAAAATATACTGATTACATATCACTCCCTGACCAGTTACTCTACCTTGATTAAGTCGTGATGGGCACACTGCTATACCCATGCTTATATTGTTCCTCCTTTGGCAGCTAGGTCTCACAGTCTTCATTTATTCTAAGGGGGCTATTGTTTTGAGGACACAATGTGGTCAGACCTTCTTTTTTTAAGATAGCTGTATTTTTTTTCTTATGTCAGTCGTGGTTACATCAGCTGTGGCTTATAGTACCAGCCATGGTAAACTTGGTCATCACTGCGAAACAATATCGACAACAAATATTTCTTCTAAGCCAGTTTGTCCACTGAACAAAAGGGCTATTGTCTGCAGGGAATGGGTGCGGTGGGTTCAAAATATCCAGCTCCACTTGCTAAGTGCATGAGCGTAAAGACGGCATGTCATAAAAGTGATAACTGATTGATAAATTTTCATGTAAATATGATGCATTTATTTATGTATGCACTGGCTTCTTCTAATGCCTGTAAACAAATAGTAGTTGCTTACAATCGTGGTCGTTTTTTTACATGCAATCAGCATCAGCACATTCTTGAAGCCATGCGACTCAGGGAACAGGAGGAGGCCATGCTGAAGAAGCAAATGAACCCGAAAAAGGCTCGCGAGATTGCCGAGCAAAAGTTCAGGGTAAGTACTATTAATAAATGCCTTTTGCTCAATCGTCACTTCACTGATTTTAATAGAATCCTGAACGAGTACTCTTTCTATCGTTATTGAAGTGCATTACTGAAGCGAATTACTGGAGCCGTAATTCTGAATCGGGTGCTTGAATGTGAAAGTACAATGTCCTGAATAAGTGTATTGTCACATGTTATCTCTGAAATGTCTTCAGCTTTAAGTATATTTAAGTGTCCTTGAAAGATAGCGTAGAACATTAAAGATGTAGTCAAGTGGAATTCTTTTTGTACACTTCTAGTTCATTTGGGGGGGGGGGGGGTAAAGGTGGATTCAGGGCAGAAATTCGAGAGTAAAATGTTTACTGCAGTCAGATACGTGGGTAACTTATGTACTGTCAAAGCATAAGCTGAAGTGTAGTAAAAAAAACCTTAAAAATAAATGATCTTGATTTTTATCAAGTACATAAAGGAAACGGACATTTTACTAGCACACTCCATTGGACTTCTTGGTTTACAAAGAGTCGTATAGAAATACCAAGTTTTCACCCTTTACTATTGTACCAAGCTCTCTTCCACTTGCATGCGCTCGGTAATTTTTCTTACTACGGTGAAATCTCGCTACAACAAATCTCAAGGGACCGCTGAAAATTATTCGTTATTTTAAAAAGTCGTTGTTGTGGAAACATTAAAAGTTTGTGCAAAAATTGCAAAACAAGCATGTGAGTCACTTACCTGTGCTGTGTATGAATTCGCGATTGTGTTATGCTCGAATAAGTGCAAAGAAACAAACGCAAAATATCGCAGAACCAGTGCACGTTTATTTGAGGCGGAATGGGATATACACTCGAACCTCCTTATAACAAAGTTGCACCTTACACGAAAATAAGTTCATTATATCTGAAAATTTGTTATATAGGTTTCCTAACACTATATCTGTTGCAAGACTATTTTTATTTACTTCGTTATAACCGATATTTCGTTATATCAAGGTTTGAGTGTATCCTGATGTGGGCAGCTCGACTGCTGAAAGATGAACTCTTCAGCGTGCGCATCCTTCTTGCACATGCTGTTTCAAGGTCGTCTTTGCTCTTTTCGCCGTTTTCTTGTCATGATAAATGTTATGGATCTTATAGGTTGTCAGGTAAACTCACTTGCATGCTTCGTCGTCGCACTGTGAGTAGTGTATGACCGTTAGTGAAGCATGCATGGGTAATTATCGGCGACTTCATCCAATAGGTCACTCACATTGCATTTTTCACTTTCGTCGCATTCCTTTCGTGCTGCTTCCCGAGGTCATCTTGAACGTTCGACCACCAACAGAAAAGGCTCGAAACCAACGCGCAGGTCAAGGTGCTCAACGAAAACAAAAGCAACCGGGCGATGATAATGGCGATAGGGCTATCACACATTTGGTTAGGGCGGCCAGATGTAGAAATACGCTAGCATTCTGATGATGATGATAGTGGCAGCAATGGAGCTGGGCATTATTTTTATAGCCGCGAGTAGCTTTTCAAAATCATATCGAGTTTGTTCTGAGATTCGCTATAAAAAGATTTGACTGTATCACACTACGTGCCATTTAATCGCCCTTCAGGAGCGTCTCCAAGAACTGCACATCAGGCAGCAGGAGGAAGATGTTCTGGTTCGACGCAGCTTGGAACAGAAGATGGCCGTCATCAAGGATGCTGCAAGTCGACAAGACGAGCCTCTCGATGACTCCAAGCTGGTTAGTCCTCATTTTGCTTCAACCAAGCTCGCTGTTAAGCATCTGAATGTGGACTTTTGTAGAAGCACACTGTATACAAAGGCGGCCTGCATTGATGCCAATATTAATGCTGTGCTTGTTAAGCAGAAGTTTCTTTGTTGTCTCTCTTATGCTGTATCACTGCATCCTAATCCGTCTTATTTTGGTGCTTGCAAGTGATGTCGCAAGTACTTGACTGTACAATTTCTGCTCGAAGGAGACCTGAATTTCTTGAAATGGTTGGGCCTCTTGCAGAGTTTAACTAACATTATGTGTTGTTTAATGCTATCACTCTAAAGATGGCGGGGTCTCTTCTCGTCAGTAAGGGTCTAATGACCAGCCAACTTTTTTTGCTCTGAGGAACTCTGGTCACGCTAAACCATAGGCCGGAAAATAATGCAGAGCTGACTCAAGCTCACGAGAATATTACTCACACGAACTCACTCAGACGCAGACTCGCGGCACAATCCTTGTTTGAGCGAGCCCGAGTGAGTCTTCGACTCGTGAGTGAGTTTGCAACCTATGCACTAAACTATAGTTGAGTGGCTTCTTTCTCTTGTTAACAAAATCGAAAAAGCTTACAAAGTTTCACAAGGATGTTATTTGGTCATTGAAACTTTGCACTCCAACGTTGCATGTTGTACCTGTCTTATGCATTTTATATTCAACTACCTAAAAGCAGCACTAACTGCTAGGTCTATAATTGACAGCAACTTTGACCCTAACTTTGCCTCAGACGTTTTTTCGACTGTCAGTGACTATATTGTGGGACAAAGGCTGGACTGTTCTAAACTCGTATTGACCGGTGACTTTAATGCCCCCTCTATAGATTGGAATTTGTTAACATCAACTGGTCGTGACAGAATAATTTGTGATTCTTTAATTAATCTGTCACTAGCTTTCGATCTATCGCAGCTGGTTGATCAGGCTACACGCGAGGATTCTATACTAGATCTTGTTTTTGCCAACCATGAGTTGGTTACGAATGGATATCAGTGCAGGGTTGTCGATGGAATTTCCGACCATAAGGCCGTTATTGTTGATTTAAATGTTGCTTGTAAGCCAGTACGACCAACGTTTAAGACTGTGCTGAATTTTGAATGCGCAGACGACACTTCTATTTTTGCTAAACTTGCAACATGCTTTGACGATTTCTTATCGAGTAGTGACCACTGCAGTATTGATACGTTGACTAACCAATTTTACAGTATAATTAATGAATGTATAACGCAGTTTGTTCCTCACAAGAGCATAAAACGTCATGCCAAACACCCTTGGTATACCAGGTCAATTATACAGCTTAAACGTCGTATTAAGCGACTGCGAAAGCGACGGAGGGTTCACAATAATGACGGGGAGTCCCAAATTAACTTGCTTAAATCTGAACTAAAAGCTAAAATGAGTGATGCCAGAAAGTTTTACTTTAATACCACGTTAAGCTCTTTTATGAAAAATAATCCCATTAAGTTTTGGAAAACTATCAATCCTACCACGGCCTGTCCGTCAACCTTCATGATAGATGATGTGTCCTGCTCCGATTCATCCAAAATTTCTGAAGCCTTTAATAAGTATTTCCAAACTGTATTTGGAGATGACAATGGAACGACCCCTGACATTCGTAGCAGCCAGGAAATAGATTCGTTTCCAGCAATTGAAATTAGCTACACTGGCGTTCTTAACCTTCTGTTGAATATCGACACTACTAAAGGTGCTGGGCCAGATGGCATACCAAACATGTTTTTGAAGCGTTACGCAGAATGGAATGCTCGTTATTTATCAATAATTTTTGTTAAATTATTAGAAACAGGTATTGTGCCAACCGTTTGGAAAATCGCCAATGTAATTCCTGTGTTTAAATCGGGTAATAAGCAACTCATTTCTAACTACAGGCCTATTTCATTAACGTGTACCTGTTGCAAGCTTTTAGAGCACATAATTCATAAACATGTACTTCAGCACCTCACTAATAACAACTTATTGTCCCGTAATCAGCATGGTTTCCGCTCTGGTTTTTCTACAACTACACAGCTCATTGAATTCACTCACGACATCGCTTCGGCTCTTAATACTCGAGGACAGGTTGACGCCATATTCATAGATTATAGCAAAGCATTTGATGTAGTATGTCACAAAAAACTTCTTACTAGACTCAGAAGTATTATTAACGATGACAAAATAATAGGCTGGATAGCTGATTTGCTACGTTTGAGGTCGCAATTTGTTACGTTTGAGCATGCGCAGTCATCGTCGTGTGCAGTCACTTCCGGGGTTCCACAGGGCTCGGTGCTTGGGCCCCTATTGTTCATTATTTATATTAATGATGTCACACAGGTCATTAAGGACACACCAGTGAAGCTGCGATTGTACGCTGACGACTGCGTTTTATATACTAGCGTAAATAATGCTCATGACCAAGATGTTCTGAACAAAGTATTTTCGTCCTTTTGTGGTTGGAGCGCCACGTGGCAAATGAACATTAATTACCAAAAAACTGTTCAAATCACATTTACTAATAAAAAACAGCCGCTAAGGTTTAGTTATAGTTACAATGGGCACTACCTAAACTCTGTTAATACATTCAAATATCTTGGTGTTACCTACACTCAAAACCTAAAGTGGCACCATCACATTGAAACAATTTGCACTAGAGCACTTCGAAAACTGGGATACATAAAACGAACACTCAAGCACTCTACCAAGGACTGCAAATTAACGGCGTATAAATCGCTCGTCCGACCATTGCTAGAGTACGCCTCAGCGGTATGGTCACCCTATACTGCACTTGACATAAATATGCTCGAGGGCATACAGAAAAAAGCAATACGATTTATATTTGGCCGGTATGACCGCAATTTTTCTGCCTCATCTCACGCATGCTCATTGTCGTTAGAACCCCTTGCTTTCCGACGCACACTTGACCGTATCACTCTGCTACATAAGATTGTACACAGCCGCAGTTGCATTGAAGCACCGATTACTTTTTGTGATTCAGCACGACGAACCACGCGCCGATCTCACCCACTCAACATTGTTCCCTTCCAGCCATTTGTAAATTGCTTTAAGCATTCCTTTTTTCCAGCCGTTGTTGAGATTTGGAACAACCTAGATGGTTCCCTACGCGAAAAACCAATTGAACTGTTTTTGAAAGAACTGCCTAACCATATTTTGTAATATGTTTTAAATGCTTTGTATGTTTCTTTGGTATTGCTTAATGTATGTTCGTTCCTTTTCCTAATGTACCCACTTCTGCTATGTCTCGTGTATCGAGACAGCAGTATCTGTAAATAATAAAAAAATAATAAAAAATAATAAAATTCATGTGGTGCTCGCACACTAAAAACCGTACTAAAAAGGCATCTCTTTCTTTCCTTCAAGGTTGATGTCATATTTGACTTTTTGCCTCGGTCGGAGTCGGTCAACGAGCAGGTGGGCCCATCAGCATTCAAGGTAACTGCACTCCTTACTATGTATGTATCTTTGTCGCTTGCACCCATACTTCTTGTGGTATGTGTCTTATTCTACATTCTTGTTTTCTCTGTTGTATGTACATATATCCCTGGCTCAAAATATTAGAAAAGGCTCTCAAATTGAACTCTTATGGGCATTTTGTTAGTACACAGTTATGCCTTCATTTATCTCTACATAGCAGAAACCATAGAAAGCTATTTAGTTTATATGCTGTTCTCTGTGAAAACAATACTCACATATTCGTTAAAGAGGTTGGTTGATTATTAGCCGAGTAACTGGCAGCCACTTTTTGTACTGTTTCGGACAGTTCATCTGCTAACAAGGCAGTCTTTACGTTTTGTTTTTTTGTTCCCCCAAACTATGACTGGTCCTTGAAGTATTGAAGTTTAGAGTGATCAGTGTGGCAAGGGCCATACAACAAAATAACTTGAACTTCTTTGCATTTAACGATAATGTATGTTATATAGGTCAAACCAAGTTCTGTATAATTGTTTTTATTTTTATTTAATGTATTTCTAAAGTTAAATTGGGCTTATTTTATGTCACGTAATGGTGCAAGAAATTAGACTATCTGCTTCATTATTGCTCGATTTCATGTAAACGAAAAAGAAGCACTGACGACTTTAGATAAACACAGCTGGCCTTGAAATAAAGATCAGTTGGAAAGTTACACTTGTGCTTAGCCTTCCGTGTGTTTGAGTCTTCCTTTGCTTGTACAGTCGAACCTCGCTACAACGAAACTGTCGGGACGTGCAAAAATTTCTTTGAAGCGGAAATTTTGTTTTGGCGAAATCTGCCCCAGAACACTGCCACATTTGACTACACCCTCCACAAACATTGTTTATTTTTGGAAAAAAGTCTGTTGCCTTCATTTGCCGCCTTGCTTTCGACATCAGCGTAGCTGTTCAACACTCGCACACGGTCAGCAAGTGCATCGCGAGGTCGTAAACGCGGGTGCCAGTGAAAGTGTGAATGATGTCAAATTCATTCATTCCATCATCTTCAATGAATACATCGCCGTTGACGCAGACTTTATCACTCATGATGCGCTAACTGACTGAAGGTGGCGCCGATGTGAGTTGTGCATCACTTTCATGTTCGACGACGCAGTGTTATCGCGAACATCTTCAACTATTGCCTAGTCATGATGAGCGATAACGTCCGCATCAACTGCGATGTAATTGTCTGTGCTCACGTCTGTGTAAACGTTTGCTCTGCCCAGGCCGCCGCAGCGCACGCGAGTGCACAAGCACAAATGACAGGTTTCGGTGCTTTAAAAGATGCTTTAGTGCTTTTATGCGCTGCATTTCTGCTAACGCGTGATCTAGAATGAATGTGGATTGGCTCTTGTGGCTCCGGCATAGCAAAGGGAGCCTGTACCTTTCCTCAAAGCGGCCAGCCGCATCGCCATGACCACCAAACAATGGTGCTCTCCTATGAGCGAGCAATGGGCACATATTTTCATGGAAACAAAGCGCAGTCAATGTTCGAAAAGCTTTGTGGTTGATGATATGCTCAAATTATCGTAATACAAATTTTCAAGTCCAGCTCCAGTGAGCGAAAGTTTCGTTGAAGCGAAAACAAGCCCGAAAAATAACTCGTTATGGCGAGAAATTTGACGCATTGATTTCTATGGCAAGCTGATGGGGAATTTTTTTTAAAATTCTTTGTTGAAGCGGGAAGTTGGTTGAAGCGGCGTTCATTTTAGCGGGGTCCGACTGTACACTATTCACCTCTATGTTTGCCCATTTGTCATAACTCTGCTTTGCTTCGCATCATACTGTGTAAGGTTATTGGGCCGCACTGTTTTGTGCAGTGGGGTTATCAGTCAACACGTTGCATTTGAACCTGTAAGCGCTGACAAAAGAGCAACCTTACTTTGCCCGATACTATAGCGTCTGAAGTGGGAAGCATTGACACAAGCTCGTCTGTGACAAGAGACGTGTCAATTAGAGGATGTGGAGGCAGCCAAGCGTGGAATGGGGTCTGGCGAGAGAAGAGGAATGTTTGTTCGCTCTTGCATAGCCGCTTCGGGCACACGGTTGGCGCTTCCTCATTGTTTACTGTGTGCCACAATCGGTGGCGCAACAATCTTGCCTCATGGCCAGCACAGCGGGATTCGCGCTGTACTCGTATGTGTGCGTTAACGCTGGTGGCACTTATGCCGAACGCCTGCTGCAAGTGAGGCGACTGTGTGTGCAAAAGTGCAAATGCGGAGGCGAAGTGTGGGTTGGTGAGAAGGTCTACTTGTGGGCTCGTTGCGGTGGTCCCACGGCACGCAGCACACTGGTGAGTTTTGTGTCGCATGCCTGACTTAGTTTTGAAGAATCAGCAGGCAGGGATGAGGCTTGAGTGACAATTCGCTGAGCCAGAAGCCTGCAACAAATGGTGGAGAGACTGTACTTGGTGTCTTGAGTGTTAGCGTCTGCAGTTTAGGCTCATTCATTTAAGTCAATTCATTTTCTTTTGTGCTTAGTGTGTTTCCTTATGAGAAGTACCTTTATTTTCATTGTACGCATTTATCAATGAATGGAATGATGCAGAAAACTGGCCGTGGGAAACATCATGCACTTCTGCGGCCCTTTCCTTTATTCTGCACTGTTCTGTTCAAACATGTTGCTTCATTTCCTAGTGCAGATGAATTGTTTCAGTACTGTATTCACTTCTTTTTATGCACTGACTAAAGATTCCTCCCAGTGGGAAGTAGTTTGTTTAGTGCAGCTGATGCATGGTGCAGTTTATTCCACTAGTCGAGTAAACTTTCTCCAGTGAGCATAAACACACACACATCCTAGCCAAGCACAGATAGGCGAGCGCTTGGCATAAAGTGAGCAATGTGGTAGAGTCCAGTGGCTGTCTCTACCTTGATTGGTGCATGCCTTTTGTTCACAAACAAGAACTGAAACAATTTATTACTGGTCCACTGTTTCTATGCATGAATATAGTTTTAAATCTCCAACATTAGTATACTGATGCACCATCCCTGTCACTTTTATGCAAAATTCAAAGGTGCAAATTTAGAGTTGCATTATTTTCAAGTTATCAACCTCTTGCCATGGAACTAATGAAAACAGGGTTTTGAGTGGTGCCTGTCCTTTTGAACCAGCTAGCAGTCAAGTACAATTTTTTTGGTGTCACTTTGAATGCACGATCAAGAAGCACATGTTCTTGCCAGAATGTATGACTGCAGAATGTATGATCTTTGCAGGATCTAGAGGCTTCTCGGGAGAATGCCATCAATGGGGGCGAGGTGGAGGGCTCGATTCCAGCGGTGCCCGAGGACAAGGATGACCTCAGCGAGTACAAGTTCCAGAAGTTTGCGGCTACCTACTTCCAAGGAAGTGCTAGCCACCAGTACCAGCGAAAGCCTCTCAAGAACTCTCTACTTCCGCTGCAAACGCAAGGCGACACCATGGTGAGCGTACCACACATTCTGTTTTCGTTGCATACGAAAACCTCTGGAGTTGCAGAGTAGGACAGTTTTGCAATTACCGTTGTCACACCGGCCATCTGTCAGCTAACAAATTAGGTAGCTAGAAGTGTATCAGAGATAGTGTTAAGTTATTTGAACGTATGTGCAACTAAATGTTAACCTCAGATATGTTTGATAGAAGAGAAATTTATTGCTCTGTCCTCACTTCTAGAGAGATGTATAAGTTGGAGAAACACTTGGTGTGGTTACCGCCTGCAGTAACACACTTGTGTGGTAGGTGAGATGGTGAAGTTTAGTCAGATCAATCTAGTGCTCAAGGATTGTCACAGCACTGCATTTCAGGTTAGCTTAATCTGATTGAGTAAAAGTAATACCATGAGATAGTATTGCAGAAATGTGGACTCTGCTCACACATGCACAGTGTTGCCACATATAAGCGTTAGTAGTGTAGTATGTCATAGCTTATATTGCTGTTGCAGAGGAGCAGCCATCACCACTTTCTGGCATTAAAGGTTTAAAGCCCTAAAATATGTCTGGAGATTGTTGCTACAGAAGACAAGTAACTAAATCTGTAAGTCTGATGATTGTTGCTGCAGAAGATGAGTAACTAAACTAAATCTGCAAGCATTTTTCTGTCACAAATAAACTTGCAGCTGTATATGCTGCAGAATATTGTTCATCTTTAGCTATGCTTACAATAGTTCTTGCACCTCTCTTCTCTCTTTTTTATTTGCTCGATTTTGATTATATTCTTCAATTCTGTTTTCAGGCTGCGTTGGCACTGTGGATCACAATTTTGCGATTCATGGGTGACTTGCCAGAGCCCAAGTTCCACACCATGGACAGGGTATGCAACTAGCCTTATTTAGTGTTGGTGCATCTGCATTTTTTTGCTTTTTTGTAACAGTTATTCATAGCAAAGAGCTTGTGCTGTGCATTGCAGGACAACTCATCAGTTATGAGCAAGGTCACTGCCACTTTGGGTCGCAACTTCATCAGGACCAAGGACTTTCGTGAAGCGCAAATGATGGGTGTTGACACTGTAAGAATGCATTTTTTTTTTAATTCCAGCTAGAAGCGAGCACTGCAGAGCCATAGTTTTTCTTTATTTATATACAAAAGCCCAGAGTTAGCAACAGTTTTAAACATGAACTATATTAGTGCTTGGCTTTTTTCTGTCTGTGTTGTATCATCAGAAATGTGTGCTATGTATTTATTGATCCAGAGCAGTAGCTAATAGAAAATCTGTGAAATCCTATCATAATAAAATGTGTTACAACTAAGTAATACACACGAGGAGCTAATCACTGTGCCTCAGATTTTCACTGAAACCCATTTATGGCCTTACTTTTTGGAGCAAAATTTTTCTGAAATTTATGTTACAAACTTTCTTTTTAGGTTATAACGGAAATTTACAGACTTTTTCGTACCATTCGGCTGGAATCGACAATAGCAATGAAAGATGGAATTCATTACAAATGCAACCTTTAATCATCTTGTCAGAGAGCTGCTGTGTTATACATTAAAAATACGCCAGAAATAGAGAGTCAAAGCACATTTTAGGTCTCTAATGTGTTAGGCACATAAATTCAAACAATTTCGGTACAAAGAAACTCACAACCTGTACCTACAATAGGGAGGCAAGATACGTAAATGTTTATGATACATAGTTGAAATAGCCACCCAATTCCTTTTTTCTGCACGATAAGCAGAATACAGTTTCTCCTTTTATTCTTTCTGCCATTGCGAGTTGGGTGTCCGTTGTCGGATCAACCCACTCTTGGTTCTCTTTCTTTTTGGCATGGCTGAGAAAGGCAGCACAGGAGCAGATAGCCAGACTGCTTTAAGACCAGAAGGGAAGGATGCATCGTATTGACCGTGTTTAATCGTGCCAAGTCGAATTCTCCCCTGTCAGAGATAACCAATCTAGGAAGCAAATTAGAAACAAAGCAAATTAGAAACAAATCAAAAACCGCATGCACATTGCACTTTTCTTTCTTCTCTTCACTCGCCTTTCCCCTGACGGCTTTCCAGGTTTTCACATTTGCCAACCACTCGGGCCGTGTCAATGCGGCGGTATGTGGTGGCTGGCGCGTTCCATTTCACTGCTGCTGCGGGTTGCTTTCAAGAAGTCAGTTGAACTAGAGGACGAGGTTGAACCCCGTAAAGTTACAAACAGTGACTATTCCCCGATAACATGAATAATGGTCTGAAACTGCACTTTAAAGTGGAATCTGAGGTAAATAGTGTTCATATATGTGCCAATTTTGAAAGTAAGTGCTTATAGTCATTTAGGCACAAACGGCAAATATAGGTATTTATAGGTTTTATAAAAACACCATAAAAGCCATTCTTAACCTCTAATTCATGCTTATGTATCAAAATGGGGCTATAGTAACGCGAGGAACAAAATAGACATTTGCTTAAAATCCAGTCTCTAATCATGACCATGCTGGCAGAGAGGATGAACTGTCTTGTGCACTCTGATAAATTCTAGAAGTGCTGTTGTTACAGCATGCCTTATAATTGCGGAAACTGTGTAGAGACAGTTTCCGAAAAAATTTACAAGAAAATAGTTTTTTTTACTTTTGTTCAGCTGTGCACTGCTGACTTCAGCTCATTTCCTTCAGCTTCAGTTGAATCAGTGGTAGCTACTTACTGTAGCTCTTACCCATCCAGTGAGTAATGCCCACCATAATACAACATTGCTGACAATAGCTAAAGTGAAGCAGTTTCAGCTGCTTCTTCAACTAGGTTATAGTAATGTCTCTCTGTAAGTGTAAAGCCACTATTAGAACTATGGGGATTCAGTGCTTCTCCATTTCTGCTACTGATATACAGTCTTTTTCAAGTACTATCTCTGGTGCTGGCGTATTGTGTAGCATTCCTGAGTAAAACAAAGTTGCAAGAATCGTGGCATGCATTTTCAGGACAAGTCTAATTTGCAGCACTAGGTTAGCATGGGTCTGTTTAGAAAAAGGAGATGTCGAGGTTGAAGTAGCTGAGTGAAGAAGAAGACTATAATGTGAAGAAAGCGTTAAATCTTGAGATGAGCTACATGCACCACCTTACGGGAAAATGCCTGTTGGTTCTGTTTTCCGCAAAGGACTCGTATACCAAGCAGAAGTCTCGTAGCATCCGCAACAAGCTGGTATCGCTCACCCTGAAGCGCAAAAACAAGATCACAGAAGACGTGAGGCGCCACCTTCAGGAAGAAGAGCTGGCAGCAGACAACTACAGCCACTGGCTGGAAAGCCGGCCCACCTCCAATCTTGAGAAGCTGCACTTCATCATCGGCCATGGAATTCTGCGAGAGGAGCTCAGGTTTGTCGCGACATTTATGTAACGACAATTTGCTTTTACTGCCTTACTTGTACAAGCGTTTCTCCGTGTGAGCTTGACAAAACAGTCATATTCTAGTGTTGAAGCGCCAATTCTACTATGCAAATGAGGTCTTTGTGCATATTGAAAAGAACCTTGGATATTGAAAATTTATTGAGTTTTACATGATTGCATTCTTTGCAGCCAATGTGTAAATTTAGGTTGCGAAATCTTGTTAATAATTCCAATTTTGCTCATGGTTAGTTATTGCATAACAGCAATATATATGCATAAAAAGCTACCTCTCCCTCCTCCCCCCTTCTTTTTTATTTTTACTAGTGGCATCATTTGGATGCTGCAGCTCTCACTGTATAAAAAGGGGGGCATTTGTGAACCTGAATTTCTCGGTATGTAAATGGCACTAATAGTGTAATGTGATTACACCACTCCGAGTAAACGAAGCACGCATTTGTTCTTACCTACGTAGGCTGAGTGATGGCATGCTATGGTCATAAATGACTCTATTTAGAGCAATGAAATGACTATGTCCTTTATAAGGTGGCTTTGTAAACTCATATCATCTTGCGGATGTATTTGTAATTGCACTGGTAGCTTGTTTGATTGCAATAGCGTGTAATAGTTCTTGCCTGCCAAAACTAAAATACCTCGTTCGAGCAATGCAATGTCACAAGCTCGTAACTTGCCACATAAACCATGCACAAGCTAGAACGGGCACTTAACTGCGCAATCATTTTTCACAGGGATGAAATATACTGTCAGATCTGCAAGCAGCTGACAAATAACCCAGAGAAGAATTCCCATGCCAGGGGTTGGATCCTGCTGTCGCTCTGTGTTGGGTGCTTTGCTCCCTCTGACAAGGTAAAGTGTTAAGCCTCTGGTAGATTTCTGAAATGAAATTCAAGCATATTCTCGTCCAAAATTACTCTTATGTGAATTCTAATCATTATGTGTATTTGATCTTTAAACGTAATAAAAATGAAGGCACGTTCCTTGCCATTACCCACTTTGATGGCTCCGCAGCTGTGGCATTTAAAAGCTGTTTGCAAGGTTGTAAGTTCGATTCCTAGTGAGAGTGGTCATATTCCTAGGGGTGGAATGCAAAAACACTGGAGCACTTAGATTTAGGTGCACAGCGAAGCTTCCACGACTATAACAATGATATTGTTGTGCAAAATTACTTGTGAGTCAAATAAGCAAAGCTGCTTTTGTTGGAATGTTTCGACTTCTACGAAATCCCAACTTTGAGAAAAAAAACTTGTGCTCTGCATTACCCGATTTTTCACAACTGTTATCTCTGAGGTATTGCTACACAGCCTAACTGAAGTGGTTGTCTCACCGCAGTTTGTCAAGTACCTACTCAACCTAATCAGGGAGGGTCCACCAGGCTACGCACCATACTGTGAGGAGCGGCTACGGCGCACCTTTATGAATGGCACAAGGGGCCAGCCGCCATCATGGTTGGAGCTACAGGCCACAAAATCCAAGAAGCCTCTCATGCTGCCCATCACCTTCATGGATGGCAACACTCGAACCCTATTGGCTGACTCGGCCACTACTGCCCGCGAGCTCTGTGCACAGCTGTCAGCCAAGATCGGATTAAGAGACCAGTTTGGATTCTCCCTCTACATAGCTCTCTTTGACAAGGTTAGATGTTCTTGATTGCTGTTCTGGCTTTAAATATGTATATCTTAAGGACGTTATAGATATTATGTGTTGTAGAAAAAAAAGCAAATGTAATTTTTGTTATACAAGTTACACAACATATGAATAAGCACACTAGCAAGGTACATTGTATGAAACAAATGTGCACAGTTTACCTACATTATACTTCTCTGTGCTTCAATCCGGCACATGTTCTTCATCCATGTCAACCATATTATCATGCTTTCAGCGATGCACAAAATATGAATGCAAACCATGGGTAATGTACATTCTCATATAGAGCCTTCACCAAAAGTTATAAAGCTATTGTACAAGTGAGCGAAGTTGTCATCGTGCACTGTCACAAGTCTTCTCGTGACACATCAGATTTGTCAGACGGAGACTTGTGACAAATCTCAAGTTTTGAAGCTCGAGAGAGAGAGAGGAAACCGTCAAAACTTCAATGATTTAGAGGTTGCTCGAGTATTCTGTGTACAGACTAATAAAAGCTCTTATGATTCAAATGGTGACCTTTTTCCTGAACCTGTATTTCAGTACATCAGTGCTATTTTGCCTTGCAGGTTTCATCACTTGGCAGTGGAGGAGAGCATGTGATGGACGCCATCTCGCAGTGCGAACAGTATACGAAAGAACAAGGGGCTCAGGAGCGCAATGCCCCATGGCGGCTGTTCTTCCGAAAGGAAATCTTCGCACCCTGGCATGACCCCACTCAGGATCCCGAAGCTACCAACTTGATCTTCCAGCAAGTGGTTCGTGGCATCAAGTTCGGGGAGTACAAGTGCGACAAGGTAGCTGAAGTGCCCCTATTGCATAGCGGTTCAATTATTTGCCTACTCGAAAGTGTCTTGAAAGTTTCGTGGCCTATCTTTCAACAGGAGGAAGATTTGGCCATGATAGCAGCTCAGCAGTATTATGTTGACCATGGCACCGAGCTGAACATGGAGACTCTTCTGGCCTTGTTGCCAACATACATTCCCGATAACTGCCTTCAGGCCAGTGACAAGGCTCTGGAGAGGTGGGCTGGCCTTGTTGTGCAGGCATTGAACAAGGTTTGTCCCACATTTAGTCGCACCCTTCTCATGTCTAGCTGCTTGGCATGATAACAGGGCAGTAAAGGTCATTGTTTGCTTTCTGCTAGTCATGTCGGAAGTGTGCATTGTGTGTATAAATTGTGGTTTGTGACACATTCTGCATGCGGAAAGGGACAGCTAAAATTGCAGAATGCAACATTGTCAGTGCAACTACCTAAGCTGGAAGCCATTAGAACAGTGTATACTAATTTGGTGTGATATAAATACCTTGCATAAACTGTGTAAGCCAGCTTCACATATTCGCTCGTGAAGAATTTTCTCAGCTTAGTGAATCTAGATTTCTCCACATTCAGACCACATTTTAGCCAACATTGTGCTGATGAATTCCTAAAATCTAGCAGTGATGGTTTACACTGCATAGCTACTAGTGCTAAATGAAAGATATGCAGATTGAAAGTTGCTTTAAGGGTGCAGGTAAAGCCAGGTATTTTAGTAAATTTGTCAAATACAAAAATTATTTTATGAAAGTAGCAAATTTTGTATACAGTCGAACTTGTTTATAACAAACTTGAAAGTGTCGTGATGAGTAGTCGTCATATCAGTAGTTTGTTGTATATGGACCCTTGCCCATAAAAACGTCCACTTAGCAGCTGAACCTCTTTTTGTGTGTGTGTGTGTGTGTGTGTGTGTGTGTGTGTGTGTGTGTGTGTGTGTGTGTTTGTGTCTGTGTATTTTTGTTAAAAAGTGCCAACAACTCCTCCACTGACAAGTTAGGCCTTTTTGCATGTTAAGCGACGTCCTTTATGTTTTGATGAGTAAATTAGACCATAAGTACAATGAACTCGCGCCGTACCACTGAAGCGCGGTACCACCACTTTGAAGCAATCATCCCTGGATAGTTGCGTGCAGCATGTCATTGAATCTGCTCTCGTCATCGCATGCGGATTTGTTTACAGTCCAATATATGCACACGTTTGTGCATTCTTCGTGCATGCTTCACTCGGGATTGCACGCTCAGGTGCAGCGAGTAGCTTGTTTCTTCAACACAATGAAGACTAATTTTGCAAGCAACGCGCGCAAGTGGCCTCCCACGACGTGGCGGCGGCAAACTTGCGAACGGCAGCATGACGCGCTTGTACAGCCATCACTCCGTCGAGGAGATATCGGCAAATGACTGTGACAAGGTTGCCGGCAATGAGTCAAAAGTGCGCGTTCATCGCCGCCGGCCACCTCGTCATTACTCTTTTATGATGCTTATATGTTCAGGCACCGCGGCAGCCACGCGAAAGTCGTTATCACTAATTGACCAATCTCTGCCATTACCGAAAAATGGAAAACCTTTTGCAGCAAATTTTGGTCATGGTGAGTTTAGCATTGCTGTGAATTCTTATGCGACAAAAAGTTATCGTTTCTTGCATATATGGCTTCTTGCGTTCAAAGGCATGGTTGGTTAATCGTCGGCAGTCGTAGATGCCGAAAACTGCATCAGAAAAGTTCACTGTGCGAAAGCTGACCATAAGTCTTCATGCTGCCTCCTATTTCTCTTCTTTCTTTTTTTTTCTCACCTCATTTCTGTTCTGCCAGTGAACCTCGCTCACAACGTCCGAAATCTATGTGCGGTACTCGCCGCGGTCTACAATATCTTCGTCGCAAGTAATCAGCAGCGGGGTACACGCGAGAGTGCGCCTGTCGCATGCTTTGGAATGAGTGAGTGAGTGAGTGAGCAAACTTTATTTAACCAGCGGATTGAGGCATGGGCCCTAAGCCGCGCCAGGGGCGGTGGAGAGACCCTGTCTCTCAGCCGCCTCCCATGCTCGCTGGATGGCCCATATTTGGTCTGCCCGATCTGAGCTGATCAGCGCGGCTCTTCACCGCGCCCCCCGGCTCTCCACCTCTTTGGAATGCCTTTTTAAACTTTTTTTTTTTTCGCTTTCGTGTGCGCTATATTTTTATCGCAATCGTGTCGGAAGTGTTCGTTGTAAATGTAGGACGCCTTGAAAAATGTTCGCTGTTAGTGAACTCAGTTTCAAAGGGTAGCATAGGAAAATCGTAACTTAACCAAAATGTGGACATTATAACCGATAGATCATTACATCTGGGATCATTATGAGTGGGTTTGGCTGAACTCCAGTGTTTTTTTACCAATGTTTCTACAAAGTAGCTCAGTTACAAATCTGGAACTTCTGTGTTTGCGATGCCTGAGGGTTGTTTCGCTTATCAGCGACGTTGCACAGGCAAAATTGTTGATAAGAGAAGCGACACGTGGACTGATATTATTAGTATTTTGCTTTGTCTGCATCTTTTTCGCACTTTGAATTATAAACTTATTCCAACATACCCAGTACTCTGATTCTCATCTCCTCTACTTTACCATAAAGCTCATTCAAGCTGTAAAAACTATTTCATGACAGGTCTCAAGTTTGAATTCACAGCAGATACATTTCAATTCTGAGTATCCAGTGCATGCATTTTGCAGAGCTACTTTTTTCGTGAGAGAGTGCCCCCTCTACGTGTGAAGGAGGATGTGGTGGAGTACGCCAAGCTCAAGTGGCCCCTCCTCTTCTCCCGCTTCTATGAGGCCTTACGCTCCTCGGGTCCTCACTTGCCAAAGAATGATGTCATCATTGCCATAAACTGGACAGGCGTGTATGTCGTCGACGAGCAGGAGCAAGTGTTGCTCGAGCTCTCCTTCCCAGAGATCACCTCGGTTGCCAGCCACAAGTGAGTCAGTCGGCATTGACATGTAAAGCACCTACCTGCCTTATATGTCCCTTGTTCATAGCCCTACCTTCACTTGCGTAGGCTTGCATTGCATAGCCTTACGATTGCATAGCCTTAGGAAGTGCCAGAAGTACTAGAATCCTAGAGTTTGTCTATTTCTGGAAAGCCTAATGTATTTGGATGAATGTGGCAGTTGCGTTCTTCTATGTAGCTGTTTGCCTATATGCACTTTATGCAAGCGAATGCCCTCAAACAGCACTCCTATAATAAAATTTGTGGATTTGACCCAAGAAAGCAACCGCCTACATTATTTTGCATCTTTCAAAGTGACAACTGTCAAATGAAAGCAGCATGAGATTGAAGCCTGTAATGTCTTAGCATTGTCTGGGATGTGCCTCATAATTGTGAACAGTTCAAACGTCTGTACCTAGCACCTTTTTACAGCTCCTGTGTGTCCTTGGCAGCCTAAACACCTTTTAATAGATCGAATCGCACAGTTATTAACATAGTTGTCTTTGTGTGCAGGGGAAATCGCCCCTTCTTGCAGAGCTTCACACTTAGCACTGTGCGTGGGGAGGAATTCACCTTCCAGTCTCCCAACTCGGAAGATGTGCGGGACTTAGTTGATTTCTTCCTAGAAGGTCTCAAGAAGCGCTCCAAGTTTGTCATTTCTCTACAGGAATACAAAGGTTTGTGAAAACAAAGTGTAAACTCATTCCGAAGCAAAGGGCTAGTGCCATAGTTGTGGTTTGGCATGGGAATTCCGTGGTTTGTTGTTGTTGTTGTTGTTGTTAGAGGAACTCCACAACTCTTCTTGCAAGGTGTGTTGAATTAAATCTGATTCTAAGTAGAAGGTCTGCACAGATATTTTTTTTTGGTATAAGTACTAGTATGAGTACTATTATAAGTACTAGTATAAGTTCCATGAAGGCACATATTATAAGCAGTTACAAACAATCAAACAGTGCTCGTGCCACACCACTGTAGCATTCCCGTTGAGCTCATTGATGGGTATAACCATGATTCTATTTCTTAGTGTTCTGGTTACCCTATATGTATGTTCATCAATATATATGTTTATATACATGCAAACTTTAAAACTGTGAGGCAGGGGAATGGGTCAAGTGCCCAACCCTTCATGGCTATGCCTTTGAATTCATTGCCCTTATTGTGATTACTGCTGTGACTGCATAATGCCTGCCATGCTACATCCATTATTGTGCTAAGCCGTCATGACCCTGTGGATTTGGGATCGGGTGGAGACTTGTGCCACCAGATCTGCGAGGCCTGTGATATCACTGCGCTGTTGTTGCTTCCCACTACCGCAGTCTGTAATTGCCGCATAAGTTTTATTTTTATTCATTCATTCATTCATTCATTGACAGCCAGCAACTTCTCAAAATAAGCTGCATACTGGTATCTGTAGGTATGGTAGTACTCTTTGGTTTTGGTGTTACGACAGCATCAGCACTTTTGAGTGACCATTTCGCTGCTTCAAAAATGTGTTTGCAGGGTCTCATTTAGGTTAAATGCAAGCAGAACTTAAATGCTCCTTTTGTGTTTCTTTTGCAAACTGCTCTGTGCTCTTTCCTTGATTTGCCTTACACATTCTATTTCACTTTCAGGGGATGCAGCAAACTACTTAAGCTTTGAACAGGGCGACCTCATACTGCTGGAGGACAACATGTGTGGGGAACACGTGCTTAACAACAACTGGTGCACAGGTAAGCTTGTGCCAACGTATTGTCTTTAACTTTTCAGTATCATACCGTATTTTTTCACATGTAACCTGCCCAAGAACAGTCAAAACAAAAAGACAAATTCTGGCTTGCAAAGATGGCTTCACGGCAGCGCTTCATAGCCATGTAATGAAGCTAGCTTCTCGGCAATGCTCCGGGATCATTTTTAGAAAATTTGATGCGAATGGTTATTCAGGGTGCGGGTTATATGAGTAAATATGCTATCAGGACTGTTAGAAATCTGACCACTAATTAGCGTGTGGCTGCTTGTATTTGTGAATAGTGAGACAAATAAGGTACAAAGCCTACCTTACGAATGTGGCAGGTCATGACTACTTAGGTAAGCAGCAATTTCAACTGAAGATAAGAAAGTAAAACCAAACGAGTTTAATACATATGATATATTTTCAAAACAGTATGAAGTCACAGATAGTGGAAGCTACCATGGCCATGACTAGTTGACAACAATGAAATTATACATTTGATAACGAAAGAATGTGATCTAGGGCTGTAAATATCAGTATTATTTTGCTTCAGTACGGATTTGTTTTTATCCATCAATATAAGTTGCCAATACCCGTGATATGTGTATAACGGAAGGAATTGTTAAATAATATGGCCACTAGAGCAATTGTAGCCTTCTTCAGAAATTTATTCCGAAATGACAAAGAAAGCTCAAAGCCTTAGCATCTAAATGCAGACATTTCTGATAACCAAGTCTGTTTTCTGAAATGTGCCCAAGGTTGTTACAGCGGAGTGTCATGCCCTTTCACTTAGATTATAATATACACTAATAGTACTTGAAGCAGGCGCTTTATTAAGAAAATAGAAACAAAATGCTTTCTTCTTATTATTCCTCAGGTCGTAATGAGCGGACTGGCGAGAAGGGCGACTTTGCCTCAGATTATGTGTATGTGCTGCCTGCGCTGTCGAAGCCACCAAACAACATCCTGGCACTTTTCACTCAAGACGGTGCAGAGAATGGCAAGAAGCTGTTCCAGCACACACAGACTAATGGAATCGAATCTCGGGAGCATCCACATACTTTGGAAGAATACGCACTGGACTTCTTTAGGTAAAGCTTCTGGCCATTGAAACCACTGGTGAAAAAAAGCATATCATTACCCATATTTTCACTTTCTGTGTGCTCATTGTGACCTTAATAAGTGTCAAGTGCACAAAAGTAGTAAGTGCAAAAGGTGACTGTAGGATTGATTTCTGAATACTGACTGTCCCAATTTGTTTAAGCATTTTAAGGGCTCAAAATTGTTAGAAAGACGAGAGATAACATTAAGGTTAGTTTGTGAAAATATGTCTAGGTAGCTTCTCTTCGTGTCACTTTGCTTTGTGACACACTATTTGCAATACCGACAGCAACATATGCAGCATACTTTGTTTCGCATCTTCGAAATGTAGCTCACATTGTCCACCGTGTGTATTTTCAGTGTCACATTCTAGAAATCTCAGAGTTCTTCTAAAATCCTTACGGAGAACCAGCTTAAAATGTCATTGTGGTAATGTTTTGTGTAATGCAATGTGAACAGTTCCACCTACAGAATCAAATGAAAAAATTGCACTGGTGCAAAGAGCTAGAAAACTTTTTTTCATTGCTTCTTTTTTGGGCATTAGGCATACTGAGTTTTAAAGTTTCTATTGATCATAATAAACTATCCCAAGTGAACACATTTGCGAGTGTCGAACTTGAATAATCTTCAATAATACTTGAAGCAATTTATCCTGTTCTTCGAAGCAAGAAGCATAGAGGCAATTTATTATAACAATATTTCTAAACATGCATTTTTAATAGCTGCGTAAACTCAATGGCTAGTCTGTGAAGCATTTGAGAAACAAATTTCACTGTAAGAAGGTAGTACAGGTGACGGAACTTTGCAACCAGCTGTAGAATTAGTAGTTGAATTCGTCTCGACTGAGTAGCGACTTCACCAGTCAATGTATTTTCCTGTTGTCATTGTGTTACCAGTTCTAAGCACCTGAGAATTATCTCTTGCCATCTTGGCGCACAGGCCACTTCCCAAGAAGAGTCTTCAGCGCACACTGACGTTGTCTTCTGCGAGACGGCGAGACGGGGAACAACTCTGGCGCCACTCGCGAGAACCTCTCAAGCAGCCATTGCTCAAGAAGCTCCTCAACAAGGAAGAGCTGAGCCAGGAGGCCTGCTTTGCCTTTAATGATATCCTATGTTGTGTTCATTGTAGTACTATACAGAGTTTATCCATAAAGTAACAAGAAATTAGTAATACGATTGGTACATAGGGGGGACATGACTTATAAAGACAAAAAAAGTTCATGAAAGAAAACGTTTTTCTTATTACATTACAGTAAAACCTCATTATAATGAAGCGGGATATAATGAACTAATTGATATAACAAAGAAATTGTAATTGTAAGCCTGTTTGTAAGCCAATTGTAAGCCTGTCTGGATGGCGGGAACACTATCAAAACAGGGACCTTTCAGGCTTCTCTTGACATTTGGGAACAGAAGAAGTCTGCCGGACTTACATCAGGATTGCATCTGGACTACATCAGGCCTGATGTGATCAAAGCATGATCTTGGGGAGCTGGTTGGTACGACATTCTAATATAGTTGCACTGAGTGAAAGGCACGAAGGACAGCGAGGACAGGTCAGGGCAGACGATTTTCAGGGAGCCTTGCAGCATAGGAATGGTGTTGTATTCAGTGTACTCATGGCCTAGAAAACTATGTGTAAGAATGCCAATAATATTTACCAATCGAATCAAGAAATTCTTCTTACCTGACCCAGTCTTACTACTTTACGGCCAGACCCTGCAGCTGTGATTGATTATAAATGCTCTTGAAATGGCGCGTTGCAAAGCACCATACTAATGCTACATTAGTCAGTCTTTCATTCATTTATATTCTCATGCACATCAGTCCCTAGCTGTGTTGGCACTATAATTCAGATGCCCTATTAAAAATCTTTAACGTTAGTCACTGAAGGCACGGGAGTTGCTTGGTATGATTGACTCTGTTTTTTGTTACGTGCTTCAAAAAAAATTCCGACCTGTACGGTATGTATGTTTTTCTGGCTCATACTTGCAGCGGTCTCAGACCAACTTTTCATGCATAGAGGGTAATCGACATTAGATAAGGCAAATATAATTACATTGCTGTCTTGTGTTCTGCACTATCTATGATTGGCGGCGCATTTGTTAGCAGTGTGTCTTTGTCTCTCCGCTATGTTGAATCTCTCAAGGGGTTCTCCATAAAGTCTTGTCTTTGTCCTTGACTCTGGCTTACCTATCCTGAAGTATATGGGCGACCTACCATCCCGAAGAACAAGATCAGGCAACGAACTCACAGACCAGCTTTTTGAGGGTCCCCTGAAGCACGTAAGTGGCCGTGGTTTCTGGTAAGCTTTTTGGCCAAGTGTATAAATTTACTCACATGTGCATGAATGTTCTCTCTGCCACAAACTTATGGAAGGGACGTACGTAGACTGGTACTAGTATGGAGAATATATATAACTGAACTATAAGGTGTGCATTAACCTAGTAAAGTATTATTGTTTCAAAAAGGAATCAATTTCAGGGGTGAAGTTCCTTAGAACCTAGCCTTCTATTTCATTGTGGTCATGGTGTAGAACCGTGTCTATACTCGAAACATATGTGAGACATAGAAAAAGGCTTTGCAATAGACTTCAACATAGACATAGGCTAATTATAATGTAAAAGATCACTGTTCCAGGCAAAAATAACCTTTCAGGAAGAGTATTGATGAGTTAATGTCTGCTAAAACGTGCCTAGAATGTTGAGGCTTCTCCAAGAAACTTTTAACACAAAGGCACATCTCTGTATGTTTCGACAAATTACCAATATTAAAATAGTAGCTTGCCACTAGTAAGATAGCGGGTTCTTGGATTCACTTTCAAGTCGTATCCTCCACTCCAGCAATTTTCTTAATCCTCCTTGAGTTGCCTAAGACGACTGTAAAATGAAAGAAATTTACATTTTGATATACACTTATGTCGCTCAATTTACATTTTATGGGGCAACACTAGAGCGACGTACGGTTACTCACCTACATAATACTCGGAGCTTTGCCCACTCATCATGATTCATTTCGTGGAGATGTGTGGATTCGTTTGTGTCGTATAACTACTGCCTGTGGTAGTGCAGCAGTCTTGTTTAACATCTATGCGAGATCTAATACAGTTATTTTGGATGTGCAGGAAATCCTGAGGGATGAGATCTACTGCCAAATAATGAAGCAGCTGACTGATAACAAGAACAGGTGAGGGGTTCAGCATGCATGTTAATTCTTGTCAAAAAATGGACATAATAAGCATCATTTATATGTTTACCTAGATTCCAACACTTCCAAAATATTTTTGTGCACTACTGAACAAGGTTTTTATGGGCTGCCTCAGCTCTCCAGAACAGTGTTACATATTCATAAATTACTATAATATAACGTGAAGAGTTGACTATGTAGGCAAGTTACATATTGCCATTTTCTATAGTTCTCAGTGGGATAATGAACTTTTACCAATTACTATACATACTGATAAGTAGGTTTTCTATAAGTTTGAATTTTCACGTTTTTCACGATAGCTATCAGCACCAACCCCCTGTTGTTGTTTTTTTCTTCTTTCTTTCTCTTTAAGCAGTGTACTAAAGATCAGACCTAAGTATATCGAATTAGCCAATGTTGCTTTGCGGTCAAGAGTTGTTGCAGAAATGTTCGTCGTTCCACCGCAAGAATGGAAAGCACTTATACATAAGAATAGAAACAGGTCACAATGTGTCTCTTTGCCTTTCATGTAAGGCTCAGTGAGGAGCGGGGCTGGGAACTGATGTGGCTGGCCACAGGACTGTTTGCACCTAGCCAATCGCTCCTGAAGGAGCTGACGCAGTTTCTCAGGACGCGGGCACATCCTATCTCACTGGACTCACTGCAGCGACTTCAGAAGACACTAAGGTTGGTGCACCATGCTTCTCTAATTCTTGCAAAGTCTGCACAACACTTGGACATCATTTTTAACTCATTGTTCTATGGTACTGAACCAAGTTCTAAACTTTCCAAACTATATAAAAAAAATTTTGGCAAGTAGCAGGGCACCTTGAATAATTTGCTATAGTACTTCTTTTAGCTCCCAGGATGTTAGTACTATCATCCTGGCATCAAACAAAAACTTGTTAGGGGTAGTTGTCTTGTACTTTGTCATAACCAGTTATTAGCTTTTCTGGAAAAATTAATACCTTTTTGACTGCTGCTAACGATAACATTGAATTTTGTTGGAGGTGTAATGAAAAACATGTTTGTGTCTGCATATTAAAAGTACTCCGGGTCATCAAAATTAACTGTGATCCCTAAACAGTAGTGTCTCTTATAACCATGGTGGACATTGATCATCATAAATAAATTAAATTAATGTGGCATGACAAACGATTATTTCCTAATTTCAAGCTCAGTGATAGCACTGGTGCTGTGATTCATTATTGGAAACTAAGTGGAACCACCTGACATGAGTGAGCACTTGACTTTGCTGTTACAGAATTTGATTCGCTATGCTCTACCTCATTGATAAAACTGAATCAATCGATTCACTGTCATGACGACATGAAAGGAGGACTAAACATCCACTAGTTTAAGCCTAAAAAATATGCAATGACTGGCTGTCCTGAACATCATTTGGGAATCACTAGCATCTGGGCTAGTTGGTGGTCTTGCATGTTGCGAGGTTGCAGGAAACATTAGACGCATGGAAAGGAATAAACACATGGGAACTGTTTATTTTTTCATGCATCTAATGTTTTCTGCAACCACTGAACTACTTGGGAACCATGTTATAGTTTAAAAGTAGTCATGGCAATCACAGAGCATGTTAAATTTGTTCATTCATGCAGGACTGGTCAGCGAAAGTACCCACCCCACTTAGTGGAAGTTGAAGCCATCCAGCACAAGACAACGCAGATTTTCCACAAGGTCTACTTTCCTGATGACACCGATGAGGTAAGCAAACTCTTATACAGTGTTACCATGACAAATATCGTTAGCATTGTTTCTTTTTTTAGCCATTTTTCTATTTTTTAGTTAGTGCTGTAAGTGTTTAGAACCATTGAACACTGGGGACAACATGTGCATTTTGTACTGTAAGCTAATCTGGAGTCACAACCTTAAAGAAGCAATGCTGTTTATAGATTCAAAGTGTGAATAATGACATTGAGAACTGACAGTTTTGTTTCCCATAATATTGTACAGGAACAACAGAAAAATATAAGACAGAGCACTTTCGTCCTTTTCTAATATACTAAGAAACATAAATTATGCTGTACTGATTAAACCTACGTACATACATTCTTGGTTTTAATTGGGCATTTGTTTTAGCATGCTTGTCATTCGTAGTCTAATCTGTAACTTAAGTGGCTAAAGCAAAATGCTGCTTCCTGTTTCAAAGTGGTTAAAGTGCACATTATAACAACCTTTATGGTTTCAATACGCTTAAACTACATTCTAGAAACCGTCTTGACTTTTTACATACATTAAACTCCCGGTAAACAGAAATCTCTTAAATGGAACTGTTGCTTAAATGGAACAAGTGCTTGTGACAAGATTGGTTTCGTTCGTGAATCCTGCACCCCTGTTCACCTCTCGGTAAATGGAACCCCTGTTAAACGAAACGTCCCTTTAGGTTTCATTTAATGAGAGTCTACTCTATTTAGTCATTGCAACATGTTGCTCAGTAGTGGCACCAAGATCAGCTGTCTTTAGTAATCAGTAGCCTGCTGAAGTTGCTGTTGGCTCTGAGAGTTTGATGTCACTAAATTTACTTGTTTTACTGCAAGGGGCATAAATTACCTTTAGAGTGAAGTCATTTGGCAAGTGCCGCTCTTAAATTCTTTTGTGTGACACAAGTACCAATGATCTCTGTCTCTTGTGCAATGCAGCACTAACTCATCTGTTGTATTCTTACATAAAGGCATTTGAAGTGGACTCTGGCACACGGGCCAAGGATTTCTGTCTAAACATCAGCCAGCGGCTAAACTTGCGGACTGCCGAGGGATTCAGCTTATTTGTAAAAATTGCTGACAAGGGTATGTACTGAAATTATCGTGTCTCAATATATCTGCTGACACACTTGCAGTCGTCACATGTAGACGTCATTTCAGGAGTGCCTCAAGGCTCCGTCCTGGGGCGGCTTCTCCTTTTGATTTATATCAATGATTTTGCTGAATGCGTGGACAGTCAAGTGAGGTTGTATGCAGATGACTGCTGCATGTATCATGAAATTAAGTGCACTTGAGATTCTGAACAACTGCAGAAAGACCTTGACTCAGTAATAGCATGGTGCAGTATGTTTAAAATGAAGCTTAACGTGTCAAAGTGCAGTGTCGTTAGGTTTACCAAGAAAAAGCAGCTTCTTATTACAAACTGATGCATGGAAAGGACACCATTATCTATTGTAAATGAATACAAGTATCTTGGTGTTGTCATCAACAACACACTTTCGTGGAATGATCATGTTCGCATGGTATCAGTTAAAGCCAGTCGCATGCTAAACTTTCTGCGCCGCAATTTCAGAACCGCCCCCTCTGTTCTTAAACAAGTTCTTTACGTGTCAAATGTACGCTCGATTTTAGAATTTGCTTGCACTGCCTGGGACCCGGCCACAAAGGTAAATATCGATGCATTGGAGCGCATTCAGAAATGTGCTGCCCAGTTTGTGACGGGTGATTATGACTTCACCAGAAGGTCTAACGAAATTGTTAATGCACTTGGTTGGCCGTTACTGTCCTCAAGGCGTGAATATTAGGTAGTTGAAAAGACATAGCCTAATATAAAGGACAAAAGTGGGATCGATATAAATAAATACATTAAACCACCAACGTACACCTCATCACGATCGAACCATCCCTTGAAAGTATGCGAATATATGTGCCGAACAACAACCTATGCAAATACTTTTTTTCCTTAAAACTATACACGAATGGAATAGTCTTCCAAAAAGTATTGTGACCGCCCCTGACACAGCGTTTCCTTCACTTTTAAAGGAGTATGTGGTCACACAATGATATTGTATGCTGTAATTTATATTGTTACACGCAAGAAGTACACGAAAAGGTTGAAAAACAGGCGAGCCTGGATGGTTCGCGTTTACTTCCAGAAGGGGTCTCGAGACAGCACACCCAACGTCGTCTTCCTTCTTCACCTTTTTTCTGAATGTTCATTCGCGCTGTATGCGCCGTGCATTGCAACCGCTCGTGACATTTCCCCGTTGGCAGACGAAGCCCGCCGGGCGAGTCACTCAGTGGTTCGTGCATTGCATAGCTTCATGCGAGCGACGTGCGCCACTTCTGTTTTAGCCGAGCGCCGTCCAGTGCTTGTGAGCCGTGCTATGCGGTAGTTGACCTCACTGAGGCGTTCGAGGATAACGTAGGGCCCGACATAGTGAGCGAGAAATTTCTGGTACAGGCCACGTTTCCGTAAAGGCGTCCAGAGCCACACCTGATCTCCAGGATTGAAGTGAACATGTCGGTGACGGTCGTCATAGCGGATCTTTGATCGGTCTTGCGAGGTGACGGTGCGTAGCCGAGCGAGGCGTCGCGCTTCTTCTGCTCTACAGAGAATCTCGTTGATCGGCTCACTGCGATGAGCAGAGTAGGGAAGCATAGTGTCAAGATTATAGCGTGGTGGACGAGCATAAAGGAGAAAGAAAGGTGAGTAACCAGTGGTCTCATGTCTTGCGGTGTTGAAAGCATAGGTGATGAAAGGCAAAATTGTGTCCCAGTTTTTGTGCGCGGAGTCGATGTACATGGACAGCATGTTGGCAAGCGTTCGGTTCGTGCGTTCCACTAGACCATTAGTCTGTGGATGGTATGGAGTGGAATGGCGGAAGCTTGATGAGCACAGACGAAGGGTCTCTTCGACAACATCCGCGGTAAATTGCCGCCCACGGTCGCTGATTACGATGCGAGGAGGTCCGTGTCTGAGGATAACTTGAAACAGCAAGAAGATGGAAACGTCTTTTGCTGTGGCCGACGGTAGTGCTGCCGTCTCACAATAACGGGTTAAGTGGTCTACGCAAACGATGACCCAACGATTGCCGTCTGTGGATCGCGGAAAAGGGCCCAGAAGATCTATACCAACTTGCTCAAAGGGGGTGCTAGGAGGCGAAACAGGCTGAAGGCGACCAGACGGCGCGTCAGTTGGTCGCTTGTAACGCTGACATTGGGTGCAGCTGGCGACGTACCGTTCGGTATCATTGCGCATCCGGGGCCAATAAAAGCGTTCCTGAGCACGGTAGAGTGTTCTTGTGCATCCAAGATGTCCGGAAGTTGGTTCGTCGTGCATGGCAGATAATACGTGACTGCGAAGGCTCTTGGGGACAACCAAAAGGTAGCGCGCACCGGTAGCCGAGAAGTTCGTCTTATATAGGGCGCCGTCACGTAAGCGAAAACGATTGTCTGCAGCGGACTCCCGCGCGGCCGCGAATAGCGGCTGTAAGCTGTCGTCTTTCCTCTGCTCTGATATGAAGGTATCCATATCCGGAAATCCCGTGGACACAAAAGCGATGTATTCATCAAAGTTGTCCGCGTCACATTCAGTCGTTGGGAGTGGCAGGCGAGAGAGACAATCAGCATCAGCGTGTCGCCGGCCGCTCTTGTAGGAAACAACGAAATCATACTCCTGCAGACGGAGCGCCCAGCGTGCTAGTCGACCAGAGGGATCCCGAAGATTCACAAGCCAGCATAGAGAGTGATGATCCGTGACGACAGTAAAGGGGCGCCCGTAGAGATACGATCGAAACCGTTGCACAGCGAAGACGACCGCCAGACACTCTTGTTCGGTGACAGTGTAGTTGCGCTCGGGGCGACTCAATGAGCGGCTAGCGTACGATATCACATGCTCGCTGTCGCCGACACGCTGAACTAGTACGGCGCCAATGCCAACACCACTAGCATCGGTATGAACTTCTGTCGGTGATGACGGATTGAAGTGGCGAAGAATAGGCTGGGACGTCAACAGTAGCTTTAGCTGCCGAAACGATGAGTCGCATTCCGAGCTCCACTCGAAAGGAACACCTTTTTGGAGAAGGCATGTGAGCGGATGAGCTATGTCAGCAAATTTGGGAATGAAACGGCGAAAGTAGGAGCATAACCCTAAAAAACTTCGTAGCTGCTTCACAGAGCGAGGTGCCTCGAATGCCTCCACAGCTGTTGTCTTTTGTGGATCTGGTCGTATACCTTCTTTGTCGATCAGGTGTCCCAGCACAAGTGTCTGTCGTTCACCAAAATGGCACTTTTTAGAATTAAGCACAAGGCCGGCCTTCCTCAAGCAGTTCAGTACCAAGTCCAGGCGCTCGTTATGCTCACGAAATGTTCGGCCGAAGATCACAACGTCGTCTAGGTAGCACATACAAACTTCCCACTTCAAACCGCGAAGTATAGTGTCCATGAACCTTTCAAACGTTGCGGGGGCGTTACAAAGCCCGAAAGGCATCACGTTGAATTCAAATAGTCCATCGGGCGTTACAAAAGCGGTCTTCTCTCTGTCATCCGGGTGCATAGGGATTTGCCAGTAACCTGATCGTAAATCCACAGAAGAGAAGTAAGAAGCCGCAAAGAGGCAATCGATGGCGTCGTCAATTCGTGGGAGTGGGTATACGTCTTTCCTAGTAACGGCATTTAGGCGACGGTAATCGACACAGAATCGCCACGTGCCGTCTTTCTTCTTCACCAGTATCACTGGAGCTGCCCAAGGGCTAGACGATTCCCGAATTACTCCTTTACCCATCATTTCTTCGACTTGAGCGCTGATGATCTTTCGCTCCGCAGAGGACACACGATATGGTTTTTGACGAATCGGTTCAGCGGATCCTGTGTTGATGCGATGGCGAGTACGGGATGCAGGAATCGATGTGGGGCCGTCGTGCTGTGCAAAGTCGAATATTGAAGAGTGTTTCGAGAGCAGGGCCATCAAAACACGACGTTCATGGTCACTGAGCGATGTAGCTACCATTCCGAGCATGTGTTCGTTTGCGGTGTGCGAGACACTGGTTTGTGCTGTATCCGGTAGTTCTGTAAGCACTGCCATAGGTATAAATGACTCTCCCTGAAACGTAGCAAGTTTTAGGCCTTGAGACAGCACTACGGCTTCAGTGGAGCAATTTAGCGTCCATAGCCCTGCGCATCCATCGGTAACTGAAACCATACAATACGGAACCAACACATTTTTCTTAAGACAGTTTCTATGGACCGGTTCCACCGCAACATCGAACGAAGTACTAACAGAAGACGAACAAACAACAGGAACGCGCATCGCGGATAAAGCGGGCACAACAGTGTCTTCAGAAACACAAAACACACTCTCTTGCTGGGATGATTCTTCTAAGAGCGCAGAGGACACACTTCCGCAAATACTGAGTTCTCCTGTTCGGCAGTCAACATTGGCGCCACACAATTTCAAAAAGTCAATGCCGAGAATTACATCGTGTGTGGAACGCGGAAGCACGGTAAACTCAGTGTTAAAGGTTTGACCACCCAAGGAGACATCCACGTTACACACACCAACCGGGTATAATGAGTCCCCACTCACTCCACGAAAGCTTGTGCTGTGGTCCCAATGAAACATAACCTTGCGTCCCAGCAGATTTTTGAACACCACACTCATGACAGAAACAGTTGCTCCCGTGTCGACTAAAGCCATGGTAGAAACGCCATCAATAAGTACATTAACCTTATTCTTCAGCATGAAGATAGGTGGAGGTATCCGAGTCGGCAGCAAAGATTTTCCAGCGACCTCACCTCCATCGGCCGCGCTGGCTAGTTTCCCGGCGGTGGTGACTCGAAGCGGCGTCGAGGAGATGATGACGTCACACGCCGTCTGGGAGATGGAGATCGAGACGCTCGGAAAGCTGGTGGTGGTGTCAGAGTACGTTCGGAGGCAGGAGAGCGGTAACGGTTTCGATACCTTTCTTGTTCTCCAGAATAGCTGTCCAGAGGGAAGTGACGGCTTCTTTCTTCTCGGAAGTAGCCTTCAAAAGTGGTGTTTCCTGGCCTATTAGTGTCCATTGCACGACCACCGTGTTGCATAAACGATCCCGACTGTCCATTGCTGAATGCCCGACGTCGGTTACAATACCTAGCTATGTGGCCAGGCGTGCCACAGTTGTAACACACGGGCAGAGGGCGAACTTCCGGACGCTGATTGAAATATTCCACAGCGGCCACAGGCTGAGAGTAACTCATCCCCTCCCCTTGGATGTCGTAGGCAGTGCTGGGTCTTCGTGGGCGAACGTCGCGTGGATGCTGATCAAAACGCCGATCAATCGAGTCGTAATGGCGTTGTTCGGTCTGGCCATAATGCGGGTCGTGTCGGTAGCTGTTACAATCCGCAGCATTCACCGAATGCTGCCAAGTAGCCGGAGGAGATGCGCAGACGGCGTCTCGGAAAGCGACGGAGGCGCAACGCGGCACCGCATAACGCGTTTGTTCTTCGTGCCGCTGGAGCTCCTCACGGACAATCTGCCGAATGGTAGCTGAGAGGTCTGTCTGCGGACTCGCGTCAACGCTGGCCACAGTCGTGACATTGGCTAGCCGTCCAAACTTCGGCGTGATTCGGCGAGTTTTCAGCGCCTCGAATGTGCGGCAGTGCCGAATCACGTCTGATACGGTGTTCAGGTTGTCTTTTCCAATGAGGAAGTTATAGACGTCTTCCGCAATACCTTTTAAAAGGTGTCCCACTTTATCTTCCTCGGGCATTCGAGAGTCGATGGTCTTACACAGCTTGAGAACTTCTTCAATATATGTCGTGCAAGTCTCGCCGATCACCTGAGCTCTCTGAGCTAAAGCTGTTTCCGCTCGTTTCTTCTTAGTGTCCGAGTCGCTAAAGCACTTCTTCATTTCTTCAATAAGACTGCTCCATGTAGTAAGCGTGTCGGCGTGGTTTTCATACCAAACCAGGGCCGTGTCCGTCAAATAAAAAACGACATGCCTGAGCTGGCTGGCCGGGTTCCAGTTGTTGCATTGGCTTACCCTTTCGTAATGGGTCAGCCATTCATCGAAGTCTTCCCCTGGCTTTGCTGAGAACGGCCGTGGCTCTCGGTAATGCTGATACAGCGGTGGTCTTGCCGAGGCATTGCTGAGGGGGTCATTTTGCTCCAGAGACATGTCGGGGCGCGATGGCGAAAGTCCGGCAAGGCGACGGCTTCTACGAAGTTCTGGTGCTGACGGCTCCGTCGTAGGTCGTGGGAGGTACCCAGCACAGCTCCACCAAATGTTACACGCAAGAAGTACACGAAAAGGTTGAAAAACAGGCGAGCCTGGATGGTTCGCGTTTACTTCCAGAAGGGGTCTCGAGACAGCACACCCAACGTCGTCTTCCTTCTTCACCTTTTTTCTGAATGTTCATTCGCGCTGTATGCGCCGTGCATTGCAACCGCTCGTGACAATATATATATTTTACTTGTTCTTGTTTTGTTTTGTGTTGTGCAATTTGTTCTCACTGACGTTTACGTACTTTGAATTTGTAAACCCCCCCTATAACAATGCCCCCAGTGGGCGCTGTAGGTACAAGTATAAATGTAAATAAAATAATGTATGCATCCCTCTTTGACAATATAGTTGCATGAGCTTAAGCGAGTAGTGCCCATGAGAAGGAAACGTTATATTTTATGCTTTCTGTTGATTATCCAGTGTGCTATCATATGAGCTGTTTCATTTTGCCGTCATGTCTGTTGGGTGAATGTGCCTCGCTGTATGCTAGGTGTGCATTAGGCGGTAGCAGTGATCTGCTGCGCATTGCATGCTTGTGCAGCCGAGAGGTTAGACTTCCTGGAATTACTGCTGTAGTCAAAAACTGCACAGCAGTTTTTCGACACCCTTATATGACACCCATGCAAAGGCAGCAATACACTCTATTAGACATTATGTCAGCTCACACTAAGACTTGCTGCGTGCTGCTTTCCTGGTGTGGCAGCTTGGGCTAGTTGGTATAGCATGACGATAGTTATAGTGCGAGAACAAAACGACGACACATAGACCTGCGTCTCCTTCTTGTCTCTGTGTCGTCGTTTTGTTCTCGCGCTGTAACTATCGGCTTTCCTGGTGTTTTCCTCTCACCCATTGAAGACGAATGCCGGTCGTATTTAATCACCCCAATGCACTATATTTTGTGGCTGCCATGCAAAATTAAATTGTTTCATTTAAAGTAATGCAGGGCTTTCCTTTCCCATTAGCTTGCTCCAGTTCTGGAATTTGAGGTAGTCACTACGTAGCAGTAATAATGCTAATGACTTCATACAACAAAATATATTTTAAAAAATCTTAAGAAATAATGTATAAAGAACTTTTTATCTTTGATAGTTGTTTGTGTAGACCACTTTTTAGTAGGTCACAATTTATCACGAGAGCTTACACTTTTACTTCTCAGTTCTCACAGTCCAATTTTTTCAATTCTTTTTCTGGCTCTGGGAAAGCAGGAGCATCCAAGAATATACAAGTAGATGGGCTCTAACTACAGGTGCTACATATGGTGTTAGATATGCTGAGGCTGACCTATCTGCCACAGAGGTTGCTCCTCTTTTTGCCTCATTTTAATGTTTGTTTGCCCAGAATGGTGGTAAGAGCAAAAATATTTTTGTTGAATCACCTTTGTTAATCAAGTACTTGTACTATGTTCAATCTTCCATCAGTCATCAGTGTACCAGAAGGAGACTTCTTTTTCGACTTCGTCCGGCATCTTACCGACTGGATTCGCAAGGCCAGGCCAACGAGAGATGGTAGGCCACTACACACGAGTTGCTGTGCTTGTACCACCCCATTGCCTCCTCTGGCATATGTACAGTAATGTCTCGTTAACACCTCATATTTTTTGTGGAGCAAAAATTAAAGTTGAATTGAACAGAAAGTGCTTCAGGAAGTCACATCAGTTTCAGCAGATGCACTGTTAGCTAGCAGGGAGTGATTGCTCTGTAGCATGTGCTTTCTCAAGCCATCTTGGCATAATCTGAATTGTTCCGGTGATTTCGGGGAGTATCTGTGTCAATGAAATATGCACATTCAAGATAAGATTAACGACAGTGAATGTTGAACAGTGAAGAGTAAAACTACATGTACACGTGCTCAAGCTTTTACACAGGGCTCTGACTTCTGGACCGTCAAAGATATCAACAGCAGAGAATGATACAAGCCAAGTGACCTTTTGTAATGTTCTGAAGGTTATAGGCCACATGAATATGACAGAGAGTGCATGCAGAGTGCCATGTTTCTTGCACCTTCCTCAGGCACCCATTTTTTACACAAAGTTGCAACACAGTGTGCTTTCAGGCATGCTTGCGAATGTCGAGCATCATCCAGGGGCATGGTGGAACCACCGAGCACCACCTATCAAAAAGTGAGAAATGCACCTCATTGAAAACTCGCTAGCATCCAACAGTAAATATGTTAGGCCATGAGCAGGCACCACCGTAGACGAAAAACATCACATTTGAAGGGACCTTGCAACACTCCTTTTTTGAACACAGTAAATCAACAAGCCTAATCTCTTGACCAGGGGTCTCAAACTCGCCTCAGCGACTGGGCCGCAGTGCACCGAGGCGCAGGCATAACCACAAATGCCGGAGCACTGAAGAAAGTCTAGAGGGGACGAGGGAAAAAAGGCTTGAACAAGATGTCGGCTAACATTGCCAATTGAAAAAAAAGTTATATCCCGTATCTCATATGTGGATCATGTCTGAATGGGATTAGGAGGGAGGATTCAAGAGATGTCAATGCCGATTTTCAGAATGACTGAAGTCTGGACACCGATTCTGAGGTATAGAGGTTTTTTCCCACACTTGTGTTTCAACACATGGTGGCTCGGTGGGGTGGGTGCCTGATAAAAAGAATGCTTTGTACCAGTCATTTCTGTTATGCTCATCAATATACTTCAATAATACGTTCGGACAGACTAGTAAGTTCATTGCTGTCAAACATTCTTTAAGTGTGCGAAAAGACCAGACACAGTGTCTTGGTCTTTTCGCACAGTTTAAGAATGTTTAACAACGTACTTCAGAAAGAAAATTTTTTTAATATGGGAAGAAAATAGTCATGTGTGGGCCAAGCGCTAGCAAAGGTTTGTGGGTGGTGCGCGGCCTGTAGGCTGCATGTTTGAGACCCCTGCACTAGATAGACAATGCTTACATGAACACCTGAACCAAGAACTGTTCTACTGGCCTGCAAGCTCCCTGAAAAGACCACCAGCTCTCTTCTTCTGTTTCTTGAAATACCGCATCACTTTCTGTGCCTGCTATGAAACTGTGAGATTCACACAAGCATGAAAGCTATCGGTAGATTTTTTTCTTAGATTTTATTACAAAACATGCTTCGTAGTGAGCTTCAAGAAAGAAATCTCGTAACTGTTAATTGATAAGAAAGCAGCAACATTCCTTATGATGACAGCTTATGCCATTGGGCTTCAAGATCGGACAACATAACATGCTGATCGCACAGACCATGCCAGCAATCAGGGCTTACTTTGATTCATGATGTTAAATAGCACGAATCAATTCGTACCAACTTGCCTAATTTTAAAATTTAAATCATTCTGATGTTGTGGAAAGCGGTCTTGGATATGCTGAAACCTGATACATCGCAAATGCTGTGAGAATGATGAAAAGGAGAGAGCTGTGTAAGAGGTCTGACTTGCAGCAGAGGAATCTTTAAAGATTCAACATGCATGAAGCAAACTCAAGAATTTTCATGGAAGTTTGAAATGCGATACCCTTTGATGCGATATCTTTGACTACATCTTAGGAGATCTTGCAAAGTCCCTTCAATGACGTATCCATGCGACTGAGAGAACCGTTTTGCAAGCAAGGTATATGTCCTACCCCTCGTTTTATCTTGAGCACTGATGTGGATGTGGCTGCTGCCTGAGAGGTGTTGGTGCTTGGTGGTGGTCGGGCGGTGATTCTCTCTCGTTCTGGACTTTTTGGGGTAATTTCTCAATCTGGCTCGTTTTCGAGGCTAAACGCGAGTGGATGCACTGATTAAGGAAGCTGCGGATGTTCCGATACTACTACTGACAAATGCTTGGGAAAACGAGACATTACTGTACAGAGAGGACATGTCGCATGCGGTGCTGTGAGGCGTAAGGATTATCCCACGTGTGCTCTTTGTTTATCACATACTACCACATTTTTGCTGCTGATTTAACAAGATTCCTGTTCAATCAAGATGTTCATATCTGCGTTTACTGGAAGCACATTACTCATTACAGACAAGGACATGAAACCGAGTGTGATCAACTTTGAACAAACATGGGACGCCTTTGGCTGGAGTCAAGAGTTTGCCAGAGAACGTCTTTTTTTCTTGTTGAGGCAGTGATGAAGACAAGCCCTGTTATTGAAAAGTTGAAACAATTTTCTGTCGTTTTAAGTCTTCGTAATTCTGTGTGCCCCCCTCCCCCTTTTTTTTTACCACACTTCTCTGTACCTTGACCTGTGATTGCAATGTGTTTCCATGCAAAATTAATTGCTGACTAGCATTTTTTCAAGTCTGTAATGCTAGTATAGTATAACAGCTCTCTTTATTGGAAGCTTTACACAGCTGCTTAGTACCCTCGGTATTAAACTACTGGCCTAAGTAAAGTGTGCTCTAAACTAGTTTCATTTTGGCTACAGGATCTATACCTCAATTCACATACCAAGTGTTCTTCATGAAAAAGCTCTGGACTAACACCATACCTGGAAAGGACAAGAATGCGGACATCATCTTCCACTTTCACCAGGTAGCCTCAACCTCTGCACTGTTTTCCTCATTTTGCCATATTAATTTGGTTTACAAACAATTAGAATTGCGCATCTTCCATATGTATGAAATTCAGTAAAAGTTGGCAGTGCTGAATGATTACTTGGCCTTGTTCGTTCTTAAATTCGCACGTGTATTCATTGATCAACGTTCCTTTGTTGCGCAGTAGGAAACTGCACTTTCAAAGGTCTTGCACGTGAATTCACATGCTGTGCATGCTGTGTTCTCCGTGTCACAGGAACTGCCCAAGTTGCTTCGTGGCTACCACAAGTGCACCAAGGAAGAGGCAGCCAAACTCGCTGCCCTTATATACAGGGTGCGATTTGGGGAGAGCAAGGTGGAGCTGCAGGCTGTCCCGTAAGTCAACTATTTTTAGTCAGTTATTTGCAACTTCTTAGGGTTCTTCTTCTTCTTCTCTCTCTTTTTAAGTTTGTCAACAAGAAGAAGAACAAAAGTGTATTTAAATGGAAGGGGTACAAAAGGGGGTCCTGCAGAGCATGTTGGTTGGGTCCCAATGTCCAGGGCCCCCTGTACATTGGGCCGCCTGGACCTTGGGCCTAGAGATTGCGACATTGGACCGCAATGTCCAGGGCACTCCTAACGTGACTCAGAAGTGCTAATTTCACTTCCGGGTCTGAGCTGGCTCGTGCCTCCCACTGCTCTAAACTGCCTACAATGTTGTTGCCTAAAAATGATTTTGAATTTTCTGGCTTTCAATCACACTTCGAAGAGATGTAGTATAAAGTTGGCAAACAGCCGCACCACGGACACAGTGCAATGTGGGATATATTGTGCTCAGCAGCCGTACATATGAAAAGACGCCTGTCTGTGCATTGGGGAGAGCCGTAGCATTTTCCCCTTCAAGCGATTAACATTTCTCATTCAATATAATACACATAGACCAAACAAACTCCTCATGTCTTTTCTCCCACTTTGCTCTGCTATGCGTGCAGATAAATGTTATTTATGGTCGTCTAAGCAGCATGAAATTTATTTTTTTTAAAAAGGCAATACAAATACTAACAAAAAATGCATTGCAGGATAATGGATAGGTGGGAAAATTAATTTGGAAGCTCATGTCTTGTCCTTTTTTTTAGTTGTGTACTTATAGTTATAATTATGAACTGTAAAGAAACTCTAATTTTGGATAGATAACAGATCTTTGTGTAATCTTTTTTTTTTATTCTATGACATCTTAAGTGCGGAGCGCTTTAGGGGCCAGGACAGTCGTATGCTGTCAAATGCTGTCACCGCTGGGCTTAACACAGGCAAAACCACGTGTATAGCATAGCCATGTGTAGAGTATTGAGCACACGCTCGCACCTAGGAAAAGTCTTCTTCGTCCTATTCTTCGAGTGCCCTGATGCTATTATGTGTATTCGGTGGTATGCTGTCATCGCTTGGTGTATTGAAGGCAAAACCACATGTAAAAATAGAGAAAAAAAGTCATAAATAGAAGAAAGAATGAAAGGGAAAAACTGAAGAAAAATATAATTATATAGAAATGAAGAGAAAAAAACTGGAAAAAAAGAATGAAAGAAAAAAACAATGGAAGAGCCCCAGAAAAGGCTGCCCAGCTCTGCGCTTCCTTTAGGCACCACTAGTGGAAAGCTGCCGTAATTTTTTTTTTTCCACTACTCTTAATTTATGCATAACCCTACATTTTTGTTTTTAAATTGAGCATAACAATCTTATCCGAGGTACTTTGGGCATTCAATCACATGGTAATCATTGACAGAAATTTTCAAAATGCTCTATTCTGTATTTTATTTCTGTTTATTGTTTTGGTTTCCATTTTGTCGCCCTACAGATCCATGCTCAGAGAGCTTGTTCCCGCTGACATGATCAAGGCACAGAGTGCCAATGACTGGAAGAGGGTATGCAAACACCAATTGCAAATGTTTTCTGTCAGTTCGTGCTTTCACTGCTCATGCATTTTACAGTAGCACTGTTGTTATTCTCCAGGCTATCGTAGCTGCTTATAACCAGGATGCAGGAACGTCGCAAGAAGACGCCAAGATCATGTTCTTGAAAATCATCTATAAATGGCCAACGTTTGGCTCCGCATTCTTCGAAGTCAAGGTAAGCAATGCATTCTCTCTTTTTTTAATTTTATTAATCTTGCATAGCTATTGGGCAAAATAATAAACTCCTTTATTACTGGCTGTATGTACAGCAGGTAACTTCTTTGTGCACAGCCTGTTTGTGCTAAGACATCCACCACGACAGAATACTTCATTCTGCTGTGCTTCACTGTTCTAAGTTTCGTATGGCGACTTGAGCTGAAGCAGGTCCTATGTTCATATAAGAGCCCATAATGAGTATAGCTGCTAGTCATTTACATTTTAAAAGAGTACTGACACGAAAACTTTAGCCTCGTGTTTTTCTGCTGCAATGTGTTGCTTGGGGCTTGTTAGTCATAATGTGACACATTGTTTGCTGCAGTGTGTGACAGATAATTAATTACAGGCCCCTCATTATCAATCAGTTTCGGCTTGAGAGAGCTCCAAAAACTGGGTGCAACTGTTGCCACCTAGCGTGTGCAGCTCTTGACCACGTCAGCACACAGAATTTCGAGACACTTCCGCATGGTCTGCATCAAGAATTAGTTTCGAATAGGAAACGGAACTGTAATGTCGCCAAGCACAAAACTTTCTAAGCGTGCGCCACGGCCACGCACTCGCAACCAGCCGCCGAGAAATATATACTGCGGGATAAAACACAGCAAAACTAAAATGGCGGCTATTACGTCATCATAACTTCTTTTCTTGGCTCCAGCATGGTGACGTGAGGAAAGTAGGGGGTCCCCAAAGGGTCCCCTTAGATGGTGTCAATGGCACCATGGAGTTGAAGGCTCATGCAAACTTCAAAATTCTTTTAAAGTACCTTCCCAGCTATATTCGCTATTGATACTTTGCAAATGATATACGAATGTTTCTGGGAATGGATCCCACAGGCTATCTCAGCCGCGAAATTTTGCATCAGTGCCCCTTTAAGCTCACTGCTTAAACACATTGGACTTTGTTGTGTGGATTATGTGCACCTGCTGAGCATTTTTCGTCAAAAAATATAATTTAGTGATGCATCTGTGACTGGACTGATATTTCAGTCCTTCTTCATTAATTACGAGAAGGCGTTTGATTCAGTAGAAATATCAGCAGTCATGCAGACACTGCGGAATTAGGGCGTCGATGAATTATATGCAAACATCCTGAAAGTAATCTACAGGGGATCAACTGCTACCATAGTGCTTTATAAAGAAAGCAACAGAATACCAATCAAGAAGGGTGTAAGGCAGGGGGATGCAATCTCCCCAAAGCTATTTACTGCGTGCTTACAGGAGGTTTTCAGAAGCCTAGAATGGGAACAGTTAGGGATAAGAGTTAATGGAGAGTACCTTAGTAACCTGCGCTTCGCCGATGACATTGCATTGATGAGTAACTCAGGGGATGAATTGCAACTCATGATTACGGAGTTAGACAAGGAGAGCAGAAAGGTGGCTCTTAAAATTAATCTGAAGAAAACGAAAGTAGTATACAACAACCTCGGAAGAGAGCAGTGCCTCGAGATAGGTAATAGTGCACTTCAAGTTATAAAAGACTATGTCTACTTAGGGCAGGTAATAACTGCGGAGCCGAACCACGAGATTGAAGTAACTAGAAGAATAGGAATGGAGTGGAGCACATTTGGCAAGCACTCTCAAGTTCTCTCTCAAGTACAGCTTAAATTGAGGACGACGCAGCGAGCAATGGAAAGAAAAATGGTAGGTGTAACCTTAAGAGACAAGAAGAGAGCAGAGTGGATTAGGGAACGAACCGGGGTTAAGGATATCATAGTTGAAATCAAGAAGAGAAAATGGACATGGGCCGGGCATGTAGCGCGTAGACAGGATAACCGCTGGTCATTAAGGGTAACTAAGTGGATTCCTAGAGAAGGCAAGCGGGTTAGGGGGAGACAGAAGGTTAGGTGGGCAGATGAGATTAATACGTTTGCGGGTATTAATTGGCAGCAGCAAGCACAGGACCGAGTTAACTGGTGGAACATGGAAGAGGCCTTTGTCCTGTAGTGGACAGGGTCAGGCTGGTGATGATGATGATGATGATCTGTGACTGGACATGTGAAGCTGGGATTTTTGTGTTGCTTTGCGCCATACTAGAAATGAATGAGAATTATGTTCAGACAGAATTTAGGCCTCTCTTGTATGCAATACGACCTGATGATAGCACTTTCCTTTCCTTTGTGCAATACCTCTTCACTAGTTGATCATACAATAGGTGTAGAGTGAACAAGTAGAGCTTCTGAGTACTCTAGAATGTTTAGAATAAAAATTACCATAGTAAATCTGAAAGCATAGATTTCAACACAACTTAGTTTAGCCCTTAACGTTTTTTAACATCTGAGTGTCTTAGTGCTGCTAGTTCAAAGAATAAATCCTGAAGCATTCTAAATCTGTTGAATAAATAAATAAATCTTTGCTAAAGTTGTGTAAAAAAAAAAGCTGTTTTTAAGGCTGGCCTGTCCTTTCAGCAAACTACGGAGCCAACATACCCAGAGCAGCTGTTGATTGCCATTAACAAGCAGGGAGTGAGTTTGATTCATCCAGTTTCTAAGGTAAGTCGCTGTGTATCTAATGTGCTAGCTGAAACGTGCCAGCAAGAAATTCTCTCCCGGCTAACAGTGTTTGTAGTGAGGAGCATTTGTGCAAAGCTTTTCGCATCACATAACGTGCATATCTTTCAGTGAGCGTGCATGTGAATGCTCTCATTGTATTTGCAACAGGATATCCTAGTCACCCACCCATTCACGCGCATCTCCAATTGGAGCAGCGGGAACACTTACTTCCACATGACCATTGGCAACCTGGTGCGCGGCAACAAGCTGCTCTGCGAGACTCCTCTCGTGAGTGTTCCTCCTTTGTTCTGTTTTCAGTGTTTGCTATTGCGTGTGTGCCTTGAGAAGTGGCAAAACTACATACAAAGGTTATCATGAAAGTAAGTTTCAGTTAAATATTAAGTAAAGTTGCTGCAGAAAATAAATTATCTCGTAAATTACTTTCACATTCTGATGCTCCCATACTTGCCGCCATTACTAATTTACCCATCAGGACAGGCAAAGAAACCATTGGAGCATCGCCTTATGGAGCCATATTGCATTTAGTAATTCTAGCACACCAACTTTATTTTGCTTTGTGATAAACACCTATCATTCAACAAATTGCCAGTTGTCGATGTGGATTTGTCACTAGGCGTACCAGCAGTTACCAAAAATTTTGTATGTTGCCACAGGTGCTGTAGTTCATCTAACCATATCATGCATGCAATGACAATGCTGTTGTGCACTCTTATGTGTAATTAAAAATGTGTGATTACTCTTGAACACACCATAATAAATGCATAAATAGCAGAAGTTGACATGCGAGATCACATTTGATGACTGACAGCCACACTCACCACTATCATTGTACTATCCCACAGTAAAGGGTTCTCCGCGTAGTTCTGACACTGTCCCTGCAATGTGCAAGCATTGACGAATGCCATGTGCACACTGTCTTTTCGAGAAATGGCTAACAGTATGAAGCCTTTTTATATGCATGTAAAAATTATAAATCACAGAAAAGTCACAAATAAGGAAGACACTATAACACACATAAAAATAAATGATAATGCCAAAGAAAAGTGACATATTATTGTCAGAATATAATGTGAATATAACAGTGTACATTGTCTTTTCAAATAAAACATGCAATTTCTGTTTGTTAAATGACACAGTATCTTGATAGCTAATGTTATGAAGTGCTCAACCTTATGCTTATTTAGAGGTATGAAGTATTGCAATGTGACTCTGGACTTGACCTCATGGAGTAGTCAAGGGTGGGGTTGTCAGAAAAACTATTGATAAAAATTAGTGAGCCAGAGCTGTGTACCAATGTGATGCATAATTCTTCTTTCATCCATTTTATTGATTTTGTTGGAGCCCTTATGTGGCTTTTTAGACATGTAGTGGTCAGTTTCAATTGGTGAGTAAGCAATAATGTATGTATGACAACTTAAGAGCTCTATTATTCTGGTATCGTATTTTGCTTGAATTTAAGGACTGCCCAGTATAGACAAAACTTGCTAGTCATTGCCAAAATCTTCTCATGTTACTCTCCTCTCTAGTAGCTAAGAAGAAGGTTCATAATCTAACTGCCTAATCAAAATTATCGTTTTTTTTTGTCATGATTGTTTAAGCCCCTCAAGAGTGTGCGAAATGTACCGGTCAGTGCGAGTGCGAAGTGCGCCCTGAAAAATTAATTACGGCATGCTTTAAAAGCTAGTTTTGGTTCCTACTGTATCCTGATGTTGCAACATGATATAGGCGGAGAGTTTTCATATTCCTAGAAGGGGCAGGCACTTGACTTGCTCTTTCATATTTCTCTCTCTCTCTCTCTCTCTCTCTCTCTCTCTCTCTATATATATATATATATATATATATATATATATATATATATATATATATATATATATATATATATATATATATTGTGAGCATTATTCATGCGCGTCATCTTATCATATGTACATACTCATCATCATCAGTCTGACCTGTGTTGTGGGGCAGAGGCTCGGCAAGTAAAAAAAGTGTCTTGCAGCTAAAACATTGCCTTACAAGTGGTGGAGAGTGCTTTCCGGTCCCCTGGTCCTCTGCCTGCAGCGCTTTTTCGTTATCTTCGACTACTAACCATCCCTGGAGCTCCGGTAGGGTCGCCGTCCTGCACAGTCAGCCCACGGTAATGTCGCAAGACGAGCCCAACAACACAGCTCCATCCACCCCGCCTGCACCCCTGGGCATGCCTTCTTGGACTGTCACCGCCCCTCAAAAAGACCCCCCCGATGTTCACCGGCCTTCGCGGTGAAAACGTTGAATATTGGTTGGATGAGTACGACCGTGTGAGTGCGCTTAAATATTGGCATGATTCTCTGAAGCTGTCCCGCGTACCGTTCTATCTGACGGGGGTCGCTAAGACATGGTTTCTCAATCATCAACTGGATTTCCCGGACTGGCCTACCTTTAAGCAGCAGCTCCGTCAGATATTTGCCAACCCTTCTGTCCGTGCAGACATAGCCAAACGGAAGCTTGCTGAACGTGTTCAGCACTCTGGCGAGTCTTATACTTCGTACATTGAAGATGTCCTCGCCCTATGCCGTCCCGTCGACAGCTCGATGGCGGAACATGACCGCGTTCGCCACCTGCTCAAGGGCATAGGCACCGTTGCATTTAACGCTTTAGCGGCAAAGGACCCCACCACGGTCGCGGATATCATCAGTACGTGTCAGCGACTCGATGACCTTCAACTTATACGTTTACAACCTGACACAGGAGATCTCAGGCCAACGCATGACAATGAGCTCCGTGCGTTGATACGGTTCATGATCCGCGAGGAGCTGCAACTCCAGGCCACCTCGTCGTCTTATGAGCTCCGCATAATGCCTTCTGCAGGCAGCCTCCGCAACATCGTCAGGGAGAAACTGGCATCCATGACGTGTGACCAAGTCCCGAGCTCGCATACCGCTCCAAAGCCGACATACGCTCAGGTGGTTGCAGCGTCACCTTTTCTGCAATCGTCGCAGTATGTGTCAAATACGCAGCCCTCACTGAATGCCCTCGCCCCAAGGGCACTGCCTCCTTCTTTCCGTTCCTGGCGTCCATCTCGACCGATTTTCTATTATTGCGGAATACGTGGCCACATCTCACGGTTCTGTCGTCGACGTCAACAAGACGAAAGGCGGGGCTATGGTAACTTCGAGAGGGATGAGTTTGCCCCTGCTCCACAACATCGCCACCCATACCAACTGTACCAACGCCGCTCACCATCTCCACAGCACTTCGACGCAGCCAGTACCTTCCGCTCCTCGCGCCGTCGTTCCCCGTCACCTATGCGCCGTTCTTCGTCACCACTTCGTCCGGCTACCACGGCGTCTGATCACCGCCCGGAAAACTAAACAGTGCAGCTTCAGGGGGGAAAGCTGCATTTAGCGGACTGCATCGAACTCCACCGGAACGCCCTTCAAATGTACTTTCAGTGTGTGTTGAGGGTATATGGACTGAAGCCTTGGTGGACACAGGTGCATCGCTCTCAGTTATTAGTGTGGACTTGTGTTCCCGTTTACGCAAAGTGAAGACACCGTATGATGGCCCTCGGTTTTTGTTCAGCTTTCTGGTGTTTGCACAGCACGAGTTTTTATTGAGGGCATCCTTCACCATATACAGTTCCTCGTTCTGTCATCGTGTACTAATGCGCTCATTTTAGGGTGGGACTTTCTCTCCTCAGCTTCAGCCGTGATATCTTGCCGTCAGAGGGTCATTCGTATGTCAGATACTGCGCTTTCGTCCGATAAAGATGCTCATAGCCAGCGCTTCGTCACCGCTGATGACTCTTTTATTCCTCCAGGCAATGAGCATATTCTGACCCTGACATCAGATAAGATCAATACTGGTGATGTGTTCCCAGCACCGTGTGGGCGCTACATCTCTGGTGGACTTACCATCGCTCCTAGCCTGGTGCACTTTCATGATGGCAGAGCATTAGTTACGGCAATTAACCCTACTTCTTTGCCTGTTGCACTGCCCCAGGGCACCAGTGTGGTTTGCTTCACAGATACCGAACCACTTTCTCTGGTGCCCCTTCACGCAGACGCACCATCTTTCTCTACGAGTACTGACGACGATGCTACGACGGCTGCTTTAACAGCCACAATAAATCCCGATCTCACGTCAGCGCAAAAGCAAGAACTTTTGGGTATCCTTCAAAAACACAGTGCTTCATTTGATGTAAATTCCCAGCTTTTGGGTCGCACTTCCGTCGCCGTACATCGAATTGAAACGGAAGGCAATACAATTGTATGCCGCCGCCCATATCGAGTGTCATCTGCAGAGCGGAAAATCATCGAGAACAACGTTGCTGATATGCTCAAACGAGATGTTATCCGGCCTTCGTCCAGCTTGTGGTCATCACCTGTAGTGCTAGTCCGAAAGAAGGATGGTTCGGTGCGATTCTGCGTCGATTATCGAGCACTTAATAAGATCTTGCGAAAAGACGTGTACCCGATCCCACGAGTCGACGACGCACTTGACTCTCTGCAAGGCGCTGAATTTTTCTCGAGCCTGGATTTACGGTCTGGTTATTGGCAAATACTTATGCACGAAGCGGACAAAGAAAAAACTGCCTTTGCAACACCAGACGGGCTGTATGAATTCAACGTGATGCCATTCGGTTTATGTAATGCTCCTGCCACGTTTGAACGCATGATTGGCATAGTTCTACGTGGCCTAAAATAGAAAACATGTCTCTGTTATCTAGATGACATCGTCATTTTCTCCACTTCTTTTCGTCAGCACCTTGATTGTTTAGACGAAGTTTTGATGTGTATTTCTAATGCTGGACTTCAGCTAAACACAAAGAAATGCCATTTCGCCAACAAGAACATCAAGGTGTTGGGCCACCTTGTCAGCAAAGATGGCGTTCGCCCGGATCCTGACAAGCTTGCTGCCGTGATACGCTTCCCTCGGCCAGAAAATCAGAAAACCTACGAAGTTTCCTGGGCCTGGCGTCCTACTTCCGCCGCTTCATCAGCCATTTTGCTGCCGTCGCGTCGCCACTGCATAAGCTGCTGACATCCGGATCAACTTTCGCTTGGAACGACGACTGCGAGCGTGCCTTTCTGGCCCTCAAGCATGCTTTAACATCCGACCCTGTTCTGTGCCATTTCGACGAGAACGCACCTACATGTCTCCATACCGACGCGAGTGGCCATGGCATTGGTGCAGTTCTTCTACAGCGAGATGCCACTTCATGGGAAAGAGTTATTGCGTATGCTAGTTGTGCTCTTACGGCTGCTGAACAGAACTACTCCATAACT